CTGTTTGGGCAGCGAAAACAAGTTGAGAACATTGACATATTGTCACATTTTTAAGTTGATATGGCTAATTTATTAGCAAACTTTTGCTTATTTGTACATCCAGCAGTTATAGAGCAATAACAGCATTCCTTTGGAGTTGTGTTTCTGGCAACCTGGTGAATGGAAGTCTTATATTTACTCATTTAGCTCTATTTTTGGTCTTTACCAATTCCTGAAGGAAATAGAGTTCATTGCCACTTCTAGATGGGGCTTCTATGCTTTAAAAATGTATACCCAGTTTAGACAGGAAGAAGGGGAGCTATAAGCTTGTCAATGTTTTTTTTTGTTGGAATTTATACATAACTACATTGATTTGACAGCTGGAGTTACAAGTTACTTTTCAGATTAAGATTTTACATAACATATGTTAAGTGTATAAAAACACAAAGCATTGTAAACTTAACCAGTGGTTCCCAACCTTTCTGGCTTACAAAAGAAAAAGTAACTGTGTTAATGGGGCCCCTTGTCACATTTCACATGTTTGTTAACAGTTCCACCAGAGAGATTTCCCCTCTAAACCTTGCACATGGTTTCATTTAAATAACTTAAGATTTGAAAAAAAGTCTAATAAATTAAGATAATATTGGATATCAGAACTTTTTTTGCCTCTGTCCTATCTCATTAATCATCACATGATACCTGTAGGATGGGGCCTGAACCCTAGATAGCAACCACCTTGACCAGCTATAACAGTAAAATGATACTTGCATGTTGATGCAACAGTATTAACGATCTAATCATGTTAAATTAATCACACAGGGTTAATTTTTCTTTTGATATTTAAAGGACTTTTTGCTGATAATACTACTGTACTTTTACTTTTAAATTTATGTGAATATTTCTCCTACCTGCCACATGATACACAACCCCTAAAAAATGGTGAAGGCCACTTTTCATTTAATTATGACTTCAATAATTTACTCTACATGTTTTAAATAGATGAAACAACAATTTATTGAAAGAAACACTTTTATTTTAGTCATGTTTGATTGCCTCAATTTCCCATTATTAATATCTAAATCAACCTTGTACTAAAATTGTCAAGATCTGTTTGAGTGTTTCTGGGTGTGCCTCAAAGCTCAGAATTCAAGGTCACATTCTCATACCTTTCAGAAAAGAGTAAACTCCTTGAATGATTTAGGGATTCAAAAAGAATGTGTTGAGTTTCAGAAACATATTACATAGTTTCAAGAGTCTAAAAAGGTTCCATAGCACAACACTAACCTCAGTTGACAAACTTTGACAAGTCCAAAAGTCTCAACAGCCAGTTTCAGACAGGAAACAGCTGCACCGACACAGGAAATGGGGGGTATGGGTCCTGCTCCTGGGACACAATTCACAATCTTGTGGCAACAGGGGTGGCCTGAACAAAAGAATGCTTGCCCAAGAAACTCTGGGTCATCTTCAGACCTGCAAACTCTTATCGTGTCGGTCTCCATTTAGTGACTTCCTTCCCACTATAGCTGTACTGTCCACTTCAAAGCCTTTTTATGCCACGTGCCTGTCAATGTCTAGTCTCATCCTTGTTTTTTTTGTGCAGAGAGCAGCTTTGATGAGATCAGCCGCAGGAACAGCTGGCCGGCAAACACCATGAACACAGTGCCCAAAGGTATGACAGCAGACACAAGGAAGATATGAAACCAAACCATGAGTAACTTTTCATGCATGAACAACTACTGGTTTGCATACAAATTGGCTCTTTGTAAATTAAAAACCAGGTCATACCTGAGGTTCAATCAAAGATTTTTGTTTTTTTAATATTTGTAGGTCCCTCCATGGAGCACCAACACAGCACAAGAGTTACCGAGCCTTCTCCAAGAATTGGACCAGGTAGGAAGGCCACTCGTACCAAATATTTTCCTAATCAATCAATCACTACAAACTCACATCGTATTAGAAAGGATTGTTCAAAACTCAGGAGCTTTATTTGAAATTCCAGTCAAGATCCCCATGTTTCCAAAGATCGGTTAAGATATTAGGAGATATGTAAACAATAAGAGATACAACCACAATAACCGCTCTGTGAGTCAGTACAATGCTAACGTACTTATGTCACTTACGTCAAGCAGTTATAATGTTCACAATCTTATGTTAGCATCTTAGCATGACAACCTTTTCTGATTAGCTCTAAACACAAAGTTGAGGCTGAGGGGAATGTCACAAATCTTGGAGGTATTTAGTCAAACACTGAAGTATTATGACATGATGGTGTTAGATGAAAAGTTAAGGGATCACCAAAGTTGTTACAACTCATCCTGAGCATGAATGACTGTACAAAATGTCATATTTTGTATTGACCTAACCCATCAGTAGAGTGTGGCAAATTTGTCCCTCTGACTTCATCTTCTGCCAATGCAGAAGCTGTGGTAGCAATTGCTAGGTCCAGCCAGTATATTTCATAGTTTTCATGACAATCAAAGACATTATAGAGGTTGATATTTTTAAGTCCATTCACATAGGCTTTCTTGATTCCATCTAGATAGCAGATTGGGTGACTGTTTATCTAACCGTTGGTTATGGCAATCAATGCACAACACCAGAGCTACTGAACAAACGAGAGATGTGGGATGTGATTTAAATACTTCACTCCATCAAAATTAATGGAACAACAGATACAGACTCATGATGAATGTGATGTCAAAAACATGGAAATACGTTTTATCTAATCTTGAAGGCACAAAAGATGGAATTTAGGAGGGGATTTACAAACATCTATGCTCTACAGATTAATATAAGTAACATCTACAAAAAGATATTAAAATCATCATATGCTTTTTCTTTGTTACAGACCCGTATCAGACATTAGGGCCCATTAGCAGTCGGCTAGCCAACCCAGGTAAGAAATGTAACTACTACAAGATAAACCAACAAGGATGATACAAATGAGGCCTTTACACTGTCTGCTTTGGGAACATAAGGGAAAGCAAGCATCATCTTGCACACATGCACTTAATTTCCAAAATGGAGTAACCGTCAAGCAACACCTGTTGTGTCAGCAGAATTGCATCACGCTTACACTGAGACAAAATCTGGCTTCCCTCTCACCAAAATGACTATTTGCCCTGCTGTTTCCTCACAGAAGGCCAAGCCCTCAGCTCATCCAAGAACCGAACAGGCAAACAAAGTCCATACAAGCTCCCTGACCCCAGCGCTCACAGGCCTGTGGGTAGGTTTTGCCCCGATGTCTGTCACTTCCTCCAAGCCACACAGTGAAAAGGTCACATTTGGTGGGAAAAAAATTAAGCTGACTGAGAAGTTGTGTGTGTCATACTACTACTATGAAAGAAACCCACACAAAACTCTTAGTAGTTTGTACTTTGTAAGAGTATTTTGTTAATATAAAAACTAAGGAGCTGTCCAAGGTCCTGGATCCATTGGGAGGAGTTTAATGTTTTGGATCTTTTCCTTTTTATGCAAAATTCTAATGCTAATTTTAAAAGTCTACCTGGTGCTCATTTCTTGATATTGATACACAAATGATTACATCCAAATTGTTCTAATATTACCAGTAAAAGTATAAAGATGCTATGACACAAACATTTCACACATTTACTACTTGTAATTCTGTATATTTTCTGTCTTGTTTTGTGTCACCAACCAATGAAGTCAGCACCCGATTCCTTAACTCTTCATTTCTCCTCCAAGGTTCGGGGCAGATCCAGCTGTGGCAGTTCCTGCTGGAGCTGCTGTCTGACAGCAGCAATGCCAACATCATCACCTGGGAGGGCACCAACGGCGAGTTCAAGATGACTGACCCAGACGAGGTGGCAAAGCGCTGGGGAGAGCGCAAGAGTAAGCCCAACATGAACTATGACAAGCTGAGCCGCGCCCTGCGCTACTACTACGACAAGAACATCATGACTAAGGTGCACGGCAAGCGCTACGCCTACAAATTTGACTTCCAAGGTATCTCGCAGGCACACCAGAATCACTCAGCAGAAGGGGGACTTGTTAAGTACCAGACTGAGATGTCTTACGTCCAGTCCTACCACAGCCACCAGCCCAAAATGAACTTCATGAGTGGCCATCCTGCATCTATGCCTGTCTCCCCTGGCAACTTTTTCAGCCCTCCGTCGACGTACTGGAACTCACCCAACAGCCCCATCTATCCTGGGTCAGCCATGACCAGACATCCCACCTCCCACTCCCACCTTAGCTCATACTACTGAGGACGCCGCCGTTCAAACCTGAATGGGATAACACAGGAAGGGAACCTAAACGTGCTATAAAAAAAACAAAACATGCACATTCCATCGAGGATGCACCTGAGCTGAACCCTGTCTGAAATGAAGGTGATATGACGCTACGGTCTGTTTTTATAAGGGCATTATGGTGTCTTTGTCGCATTCCTTCTTAAAACGGACACAATGTGGAGGGTAAATTAACTCTGATGAATGCAGAAGATTGGTATTGTACTCTTCCAAAGGTTTTAAATAAATGTACTTAAGACAATGTATTCATTGATATGTGATTACGATGTTATGAAACCAAGTTTATTTTGTAAAGTACTACTAAAGTAGTTTGATAGTACTTGTTGTAAAGACCAAAGTCATAACCTTTACTGTCTGAGTAGCATAACCGTTTTAAAACTGTTCTTTTTACTTCATAGGTCAAAACTGCAGTTATTACATTCAATGACCTGACATTTGTAAAAGTGGAATTGTACAGAATGATTGTCATGTAGCAATATACCATTTACTCACAATGTAAAGCTAATAAATGATGCTTGTACCTGAAGATGAACTCATGAGTTTTATCATTTACAGATTCTGTATAGAAACTTGGCTTTTTGAGATTTAATCCATGTAGCGCATTATATATTATTAAGTAATTCGTAGCAACAGTTAGTACTAACAAGAGCTTTCTCAAACAATACAGACATCATGTGCACACAAAAATATACATGAACCTTTTGATTATTGCTTTGAGCTTTTTAGGAATCATGTAATGAGCCACCCAGATTTAACTACACTGTACAAACATCAGCTTTATTTGTCCAAACCAAAGATATCTTCAAATATTGAGTGAGATTCTGGGTCCTCCTTCTCCTCCTCAACAACAGCAGATCCCTTCACCTGCATCTCCTCACCTTCCTCCTCAACCCACGTCACTCCACCTCCGAACGGCAATTCCAACTCCTTCGCTGCGTCACCCACTGGTGTCGCTGCTATCGCTTCAGGTTGTAAATAGGTCTTCCATTCAGTCACCTCTCTGGTCGTCTCTCGTTGTGGTGATGCTGTCGTTGTGGTGGAGGAGACAGTCTTCCTCTTGGGGGCTGTGGTATGTTTCACTTCAGGCTCTATTATCCATGGCCTGCTGCTGATCATTTTGGTCACTGGAAAATGTTTATTAGAACATATTTGTATGCGTTTTTTTTTCCTTCTTCTTCACCAAAATGAATTTAAAAAGACTGGGATTAAAAATACATAACAGTATCAATCCAGTGTCTTTTAGTAATGGCACAGTTATATTTAATAGGGTGGCTTATTTTTTTCATATTGTTCCCATGAAGAGACTAAAAACAATGTGTTAGTTGGTGCCTCTATACTTTGCATTTTGACTTATCTACCCAGGTCACAAATGGTCACAGTATGGCTTGATTTTCTTTTGCCAATAATAACTAGCTATATCCTATAAAAAACGTGTTTTATTATGGAAAATGAGGAAGCATTGACTCACCTGTGGATGCAGCAGAGCTGCAGGTGGAGTCGCAGCAGTTGCACACAGAGTCTGATCCATAGAGCTCAACCCATCTGAGAAAGTGAGGAAGACGTGATCCATTGTGTGTCAATTGTACAGCATGTTTGAACTTTATTTCTCATTCAATTTCTTAAAGAAAAAAAAAAAAGAAAGAAAGGCAAACCTTCTTGCTTGCGTGTTGTAGTTGCAGGACTTTTCTGTAGGTGTTGGGACAGAACTGCTCACAGACATGGCGCAGTGCATGTAGAGCTCCTACAAGAAATCAGATCACAAGATCTCCCTTCATTTAAATGTTTTGCACTCTTTCAGTGTATTCAAACCTGAAACTCAATTTATAGCAAAGAAATTAGCAAAGGCTGCAGAAACTTTTTTCTCAAACTTTGCTCAGGTAATGAAGCATCTTTGCTCACTTGGCCAATCATTCCCTCGAACAAGAAGGCATCCACAGAGAATCTCACAGAATTGTTTTTGTATGGGATGAACCTGGAGCGATTGTCCTTGCTTTCAACCATACACCTTAATCAGAAGGAGAGAAAGTTATCATAAGCGTATACATAGTTACATTTTTAAAAACAGAGTTAAAATAAATCTGACGCTCATGAGTTGTTTATTACCCAAAGTTTTTCACAACTGTATACTGAGGAGTGGAGGTATGGGACCTCTCAGGAGTCGCGTAACACAAGTGGACATACAGTCTTTCGTCTTGGGACACAGATGCGGCCTCAGCCTCAAAGAACATGGGCTTCCCTAGCATGTAGTGAGCTGGATGAAAAATCCTTTCCCACTGAGCTAAAAGACAGAAGAAAGCAGTCAAGCATCAAGCACATCAACAGCTTTAAGAATCCCCCTCATCCATGCAGTCAAAAGAAATCCAGATTCAAATACAAGGACTCAAAGGCTGAGACACAAGATACTGACCAGAATTGCTGTCAACCCTAATTTATGTTGACATTTTTTAGTTTGAGAGGATTTAGCCAACATAATAATGTAAATGTATGCCCAACAAAAAATAAATAAATTCAGACAACTTTGTCATAATTTTCTAAAAACATGATAAATCAATTGAGACATCAATTGTAATTAAATTGTTTTCCAAAAGCAGAATATTTCCCAATTCTAAATGTTTTTATATTAATACAAATTATATTGGCATGCATTTATATTTATATATATATATATATATATATGATTTTTTGTTTGCAATGACAAATCAGATACTAATCAGGTAAATCTAGGGTGATACTGTTTATTAGTAATGATTTGAAGAAAAAAAAAATTCTTAGCGGCTATAGGAAATAAGAAATGCAAAATAGTTCATTGCATTACACTGGGTGGGACCATTGGGCTAAAGCCACAAGTCAATTTCCTGTACGTTCTAAATACATTACCTGTATTTGAAAACAGCCTACTATACCGGTATAGTACTAGACTGTTTCTTCAGTTCTCAAACTAACTCTTAAAGACTTATAAGAGTTCACAGAAATCAGTTGGGGGCTGATAGATTCATTTTGCAGGTTTTACCATTTCGTGGAGTCAGAATGAATTCTGCTCTGTTCTTCATTGCTTTGAAGACCTTGCGCATCCGCATCTTTGGTGTGTAGCCAATTTTGTAGGAGTACTGGTACCTAAACCATTAAAACACATTGATCATATGTATAAAGTGTTAATAAATGATTTCCGTTAGAAAGAACTTCCAGTGCCAGTCTTACCTGTTATAGTAACATCTAATGGGAACGACGAAGGGCACAGCTCGCCTGATTGGTCCTTGGAGACTTGGCGGGTCATATCGTAGTATGTTTGAATAGACGACTTGGTTATTACTTATCTGCCAAGAAACAGATCAGTTATAAATTTTGCTTCAACAAGACTCAGAGTCTACAGCCATGCTAGTGGCTCTGCAAGGCCAAGTTGCTTTGTGCTAAATGCTAACATACTATGCTGGCATGCAGATGTTTAGTACATGTTTACCATGTCATCTTATTTAGCATGTTAGCACACTACTATTCTCTAATTAGCAAAGTACAGCTGATAGAAATGTCATTACTTTTGTTAAGTCATGAATTTATGTTGCACAAAGTGAAATTTTGACCTAATGATGGCACTAGATGAAAAGTTAAGGAGTTACGAAAGTTATTGTGAACTCAATTAAATGTCAATCCATGTAACAGTGGTTGAGAGATGTTGCAAATAGTAGACAAAGCGTTTAAATTAAAACCACAACTGGCATTAGAGGTCAGGGGATCATCAGAGTCAGTAGGATTCATCCTCTGGCAATCATGAATGTCTGTACAAAATTTTGGGCCAATCCATCAAACAGATGTTGAGACATAACGTTACTTTATTACAGGATAAATGAAAACACTGACCTGTCAGGGCGCCTGGCTACCGTGGATGTCTGTCCAACATTTCATGTCAATCATACTGAGATTCTTTAGTTTGGACCACAGGGTGGAGCACCCAGCAAACAGAGGTCACCATCAATCGAGAGAGGCCGCTATCATTTCTAAAAACTGTTAGCATGGCTAAAACTTACCGTCCGTTTGGTTCCACACATGTCGAGGTCATATTCAAAATAAAGGTAACCCTTTGTGGATTTACTGACTTGGCATGTCCCCAGTTTGAGCTGAGACTGTGGGTCACCGCTACCAAAAACGCTCCTCTGCACCTGCACGCGTATTTTTCTTTGCTTGCACGAAGTCTTCACAGAAACGTCCGAAACGCGGTGCGGACTAGTCTTAGGCCGAACGGGGTGCAAGATTTTCCTAACAAGCTCAGGGACAGGCTTCAGTCCGGTGCCTCTGGCTGGAGACAAAAACTCCTTCTTCACCAGCGGCAGCCTCGAGTCCACAAACACGGGGAGGTGGAGGTACGGCGGCGGCAGAATCGTTGTTTCCGTCCGGGAAACCTTTCTTATCACCTGGGATGTCTGATTCAAAGTCTCAAACCTCGGTATTGTTCCTCCATCAGTGGACAACAGCAGCAACGCAGTAAACAGTAAAAGGTAATCCATGCCTGGAACTCTTGATCAAAAATAAAGTCTAATTTGTGTTTTGAGTTTTAGTCACGGTACAGAGTATCATCTCTAATGTTCTCTTTAGTTGGGGCCAAATCAACTGCACCTGCTGGTTAAAAAGACGCAGACAGAAACAAAATGGCGCCACGCCCTGGTTGTTTCACGAAAAACAGCCTCATCGTAACGTTACAAGTTGTCCTAAAAAAACACCTGTGGAAGGTGTTTTTTATTTACTTATCCAAGGCTCAATCAATTTAACGAGTAAAACAGCAGGTGGGATGATTGTGTTATTCTGTACAGACCACTTTAACCCATGTCATATGAAGAACAAGTGGAACTAATAGCGTCAATGATACCTGATGGTTTTAGCTACTGCAATTAATGTTAACACCTGTGCATTTTATGACAGGTCAAAACACCTGCTGCGGAAAAAAAGATCCAAAGACATTATATTAAAAAAAAAAAACTTTGTATACTGCATATGTTCTTTATTTATTTATTGTTTTTTTATTAGTCATATTTAGAAAAATTTCTGATGGGCTCCTGGTTAGTTGACTTTTGACTTGAAAACAAAATACTTTCATATGCTCAAATAAAAACCATGGTCCAAACAATGTTCCTTATACAATTCTGTCAACACAATAAAAATACTAATAAACAGCATGTTAATAGCCCAACATTTTCAGGCAAATATGCAACATATGACACACTCTGTACCTATAAATAAAACTATTATTTAAGTTAGGTTAAATTTTACAAAGATCCGTTTTGACACGGTAGTGCCAGTGCCACATGAGCGCACACACATTGTTCAGATGGTGTACTACGTAACCTATGTGATGATAGGAGAAATTTAAATGTATGTTAAAGTTTTAATGTTTGTATACAGTTGGTGAACAATCGATTAATTTAGTTGATTGTTTGCTTCCCCCACTTTCATCATACTTTTTAAAATAATTTCTTCTTAGTCTGTCACTTCCATCACTTTGATGTGTGTTCATAACACTGGACATAATTTTTTTGTCTAGTCAATCCAAGTACATGAGACACCTTAAAATACAAATCAAGCTGATGCATCATATACCTAAGAACCTGATATTTTCTCTTACTACAAATAATTGAAGCGCTGCCTGCAGGTCATATACTGGTCAGGTCAGGGTAGGAGTTCCTCACTCAAAGCAAAGCTTTCACGTCTGTTCATGTAGAGGGTCTTAGTGATACATTATCCACCACGTAGTCTGAGGTCTGAAGTGATACTATTTCAACTTTTGTCACATGAATACAGCTAAAACAGCATTTGATTTCATTTGTTAAAATCACTGAAAAATACAGTTCTGCTTCTTTACACTGAATTCTACTTCTGCTGCTACGACCTACTCTGTACACTCACCTAAAGGATTATTAGGAACACCTGTTCAATTTCTCATTAATGCAATTATCTAATCAACCAATCACATGGCAGTTGCTTCAATGCATTTAGGGGTGTGGTCCTGGTCAAGACAATCTCCTGAACTCCAAACTGAATGTCAGAATGGGAAAGAAAGGTGATTTAAGCAATTTTGAGCATGGCATTTCACAATCTGCGCAGTTAATGGGATTTTCACGCACAACCATTTCTAGGGTTTACAAAGAATGGTGTGAAAAGGGAAAAACATCCAGTATGCGGCAGTCCTGTGGGCGAAAATGCCTTGTTGATGCTAGAGGTCAGAGGAGAATGGGCCGACTGATTCAAGCTGATAGAAGAGCAACTTTGACTGAAATAACCACTCGTTACAACCGAGGTATGCAGCAAAGCATTTGTGAAGCCACAACACGCACAACCTTGAGGCGGATGGGCTACAACAGCAGAAGACCCCACCGGGCACCACTCATCTCCACTACAAATAGGAAAAAGAGGCTACAATTTGCAAGAGCTCACCAAAATTGGACAGTTGAAGACTGGAAAAATGTTGCCTGGTCTGATGAGTCTCGATTTCTGTTGAGACATTCAGATGGTAGAGTGAGATGTTTTCTTGGCACACTTTAGGCCCCTTAGTGCCAACTGGGCATCGTTTAAATGCCACGGCCTACCTGAGCATTGTTTCTGACCATGTCCATCCCTTTATGGCCACCATGTACCCATCCTCTGATGGCTACTTCCAGCAGGATAATGCACCATGTCACTAAACTCCATCGATTGATATATCTATTATATTGTAGGGTAATGTATTCCCCTGCACGCTCCTCTTGATGAAGAGGTAGTGACCCCGTCGTTAGTCCTTACCAATTTTGAGACCAAACCTACCAACACATTCTCATCCCAGGGCAGGAAATACTGACACAAGGAACATATCGTTTTGGTTAGGCTTAGGAAAACATTGTTTGTGTTGAAATAAGTACATTACATGACAGCGGATGAGTTACATCGGAGTGAGATGAAAGGCCAGGCATCTCATACAGATGCTGTAGGGTAACTTGTGCGTCAAATACAAACAGTTTGCAGGCTTTTTCAAAGTGTCTGGATTTTAAGCTCTGGGATGAGACTGGACTAAACCTGCAACCTTGAATCAAATACTTGACTGATAAGTGGATAGAGGTAGTTTCTTTGATCACAGTTTGTATCAAGATGCTAAACCATGGGAATATAAGCTAAACTACACTTACACCGATCCCCACTCCAGAAAACCAGTCATGTCTTTAGATGTTGTTAGAAATAATCAGAGAAATATATTCATGGTAAAACAAACCTTGGTTTAGCACTGATTAGTAAACCGTTACTAAAAGGAAGTTGAGTGCATCCTTATGCAAGAACATTTGTCTTTTTATGTCAACTTTCTCTTAATTATTTCATACATTGGGCTCGAATTAGTGTGCCTCACCAGATTCAGCAAACGCTACTAACTTCAGATAACTGTGTAAGTGACCCACGTTAACATAATGAATGCCTTCTTTACGTAATTGAGGTTATGTTCATGAGATTTGTAAATTAGCATAATTAGCACCCCAATTATAAGGCTATGCATCTCGCCCAATATGTCAGGACATGTTCATTCATGTAAAAGACATTGAAGAGTAAAAAGAATTCCTGCTGTTGGAGAAGGAAAGTTTTACATTTGCAACAGTGTCAGCAGTGGAATTAAGGGAATAAGGTTGGATCGGTCTGTCGGTCTGTGGAGTTGTGGCTCTAACAATTTCACATTTGCAGAAGCACAGCACGTGGTAATCTAAACTGTGACAACAACCATTTATCTGTCCCTGCCAAAATATCAGCTCACTGTCACTCTCTTCCACTGGACTGATGCGCTAAGGCATCCAAAAGATTACACTTCCAGTTGACCTTATTATATACAGAGACAAGTTAACCTTCAGTTTGTGCATAATAAGTCATTTTGCAGTTTGAGATGTTCATATTCATATTGTAGTGTTCTACAATAGCCAATTTAAATGAATGAGGATTAAAATTATATTAGATATTGAATTGTACAGTCAAACAGGATAATATCATCAACATAATTATGAAGTGTAATTCATACAGGAATAATTGCACGAGTCCTACAACAGGTCTGGACCACTCCTAAATTGTGTTTTTGTCTAAGAGAAAATTGGCAAGTTCTCCTAAATCACTCATACAAGCCACTTAAGAATCCTAAGTAATCTGTTCGTAAGAGTGGTTCTTGCATAAAACCCAATGTCAGTCCATTAGAAGGTGGAAAAGCCAACTCATGGCACTTCATGTTTGTCAAACTACTTCTCTTTCACATTGCTGTAATATTTTTCTAGTCGCTAAACTGAATAGGAAATAAGTACTGTGAGTAATGTGGCAGTCCAGTAGGAGGTAGCAGGTGTTGCAGCTCCGTTGCACAGGTGTGTGTTGCAGCATTCATTGGTGAAGGTGAAGTTGAGTCCCATGGTGTATTTTTCACCCGTGAGTCCACACAGGGAGGAAAGGACGCAGCTCTTCTCATACAACACCACGCGGAAGTCTCCTGAAAATCAAGAGTTCATTAGAAACATAACTCTGGGAGAGACTCAAAGTAAACCACACTGACTCATCTCCCTCCTTGGCACTGCCTTTCTCAGTTGTTTTTCTCAGTTTTGAATCATTTAAATATCTTTAAGTGACTTGAGGCGCCCTCACCTTTCTCGCCTACAGCTCTGCTGGACAGACAGACCTGCCCAGGTGGACACATGAGAGGAAATTTGATGCAGTCCAGAGGTGAGATGGCGGGGAACACACAGGTGTAACAGAAGAGGGGAACTGAAGGACAGACATGTTTGTTAAAACCACTAAATTGCTTTTAAAAGTTTAGTTTTGAAGAGGAGCTGTGTTACACCATGAATATGATACAAAATGTGGTGAACCATTGCTCTGAATTTAAAAATAGACAATGAAACTGTGTTGACATTTTTTTAATTGATGAGCTATAAGGTATTTTAGTGAAAGCTAAAACAATGTAGCTGATTTTCCTTGTCTTATATTGGTTTTTACTGTAAGTCAAACAAAACGACATTTGAAGACTATCTTAGGCTCTGGGAAGTTGAGATGCTCAATTTTCACTATTTTTGAACTTTTTATAGACAAACAATTAATGATGAAAATAATCATGAGTTGCAGTCAGACTATAGTATTAGCAAAAGCGAAAGAATTTATGTTGCATGCGTGTTTTTTTACATTCATATGCACAAGCAAACACAAACACACACTTGCGTTCTGTTCACTTACCCACAGCTGGAAGTAAACCAAGGACAATCAGAGGGCAGACCAGCTTCGACATTACTGACTCTTTCTGTCTCACAAGGAGAAAATATTCTTGCAGCTTGACTGTTCAGCTCTTCACTTAGTCTCTTTCTTGTTATTTTCTAGAACAAAACAGCCATTTTCATCTAAAAAAAACAAAAGTCTCCCTCTTTGTGACTCAAGTCAGTTTCAGATTACCTTTATCCAGGCTTCCTCAGCCAGCCCAGCTGCAGAGATCTGAAGGTAAATCTCTTCTGGTTTCTCTTGATATTGTGTCAGTTAACTCCTGGAATCTGCACAGTACTTCAGATTCAATTAGGCTGTTAGCTTCCCAGTGACAGCCAAGATTTTACAGCGCTACCCGCACTGCAGAGAATAGCCTCATTCAGATTTAAGAGAATCAATAGAGCTTTGTGAGGAAACCGCTCACTAGGTTAAAATCTATAGAAAATGGGTCATTTGAAGCCAACTTGTCATTTATTTCTTTTACAGAACGAGAAGACATGTGGCGCATACTAAGGTTAAACAGGTCAGGTTTATTAAATTTTGTCTTGGCTAATGAAAGACGTTGAGTTTGGTGGGAGGGCTGTCAAGTGACCTGCAGTCCCATGACTAGAAGTCGTAGGATATAGAAATAGTGTTAACTCAAAATATTGAAAATATGTTGAATTCACAGGTATTTTAAGTGGTTTTGGTTCATAAAGAATGCAGTCGGTCAGTTTCTATCTTAAAATAAACAAATACCTTAGTTTAATAAGTAACCCATTTTTTATGAGAAATTTGATTGTCTTGTGGATAAGATAATTATATTAGACACTACTATATCTCTATCCAGTCTTTTTTTCTGTTTCTATTTTCCAGCCATATAGAAGGCTATTGTTCCTATCATGGTCATGTTTTACTGCAGTAAAGATAACAAAATTAAACCATGATGAAATGGTTACAGCACATAAATCTTAGCATTTATTTTAACATTGAACTGACAGTTGCCTGGGTTTGCTGCATGAGGAAAGTTCAGATTGTGTCTGTAACAAATAAATACAGGCCATCAAAAGTGATTTTCTAATACTTTATTGCATTTGTCTATGTATTTTGGTGGCGATGGGCAGAGGATGACATGTGCCTTTGGTATGAGAGACCTAGTTTGATTCCCACTGTGACATCACCAATGTGTCCCTGAGCAAGACACTTAACCCCTAGCTGCTCCAGAGGCTTGCAAAATCTGACATATATAGCAATTGTAAGTTGCTTTGGATTAAAAAAAGCATCAGCTAATTGAGTAAATGTCTAAGCTTTCCTATGTTACATTAGACAAATCCTCAGTTTGCTTTCTTCATGAACAGGAAGATTTTAACACAAGAGTCTTGCACATTGTTTTGTAACTCGTTAAGAATTTGTTTGAATTTGTATTTCGGTGTTTAAAATGTTGCTGCACAAAGGGAAAAAAACTGTGTGCAGCTCAGTGTAGGAACATACTCTATCTGACAAAGTATGTGGACACCTGAACATTCTACCCTTATGTGGTGGTTGAGTTCCTTCTGAAACGGTGGGCATTAGTCTTTGCTATCACAGCCTCCACTCTTCTGTGAAGGCTTTTCACACTGCAGGGATTTGCTCCAGTTCAGCCAGAAGAGCATACGGCCTGGATCATGATCTGCATTTCAGTTTATCTCAAAGGTGTTGCATGGGTTTGAGGTCAGGGGTCTATACAGGCCAGTCAAGTTGGTCAAAACCAATTCTTTATAGACCTGACCTTGTGCATGGGGTAATTGAAATAGGAAAGGGCTCCACAAACTCTTGCCACAAAGCTAGAAACCCCACTATTCCCTTAAATAGCATTAATTCTTCTTAATCCAGCACATTTTGCACACAGCTTCTCCCTCTTTCTCAAAAAACACTTAACACTATCATCCCTCTCTACTTGCATGCTTGCTTCACCCCTACCGAACACAAGACAATGTGAGTTGGCTCCTGCACGCCCCTGCTGGAGGAAAGAAGGCATGGCTCGCACGTCGACCTGCTGGCGCCTCATGCGGACAACAGCTGCGTCCACCTGAGCTGCTGCTGTCTTGCCATGCTGGTCGTCCAGCATCTGTAGAAAGGCACGCTGCAGCCTCGCCAGCTCACCCTCAGAGGACATGAGACATCGCCTCAGCACTGCACTGCCCTGAGAGACACACAGGAAACCCTTTTAGCCTGGTTTGGTTTGTTTGAGACACTCAACAGGTGACAAAAGGGGAGGCAAACCAGGTTAAACCACTGCATGCTTTTTTGAATAAATGGTGAGGAAATGTTGCCAGCATATTTGAATATGAAGAAATCATTTTACCCACTTTTAGTTATAAGTTTAGATTAGTCATGAAGATGGAATTTCTGTTTTCCTCAGATCCCTATTTAGCAGTGTTTTAAAATTTCAGTACCACTTTCTAACAAGGCGTACTTTACATACAATTTATGAGTTGAAACTAATGGCTTTACGAATGCTCAACACATAATTTCTTTATTAAAACTTTATACATCAGTAATAAATTGTTATTGTTAAAATATACTAGGCTGCAGTTGTAAATATTAAAGCTGCACTAATCAATATTTTTATTTTATCACTGTGTCAAATAGCTATATGTAATGTGAAAGGTGCAAAAAGCCCACAGAAAATTAGTGTTTTAGCATCTTTTAGCAAATTGTTTTGGTTTCATGGCCTGTAGCTTTACAGTTTTGGCTCACTGTCATAGCTGATCAGCTCATCAGTGTTAATTCCAGGCACAGCAGGCTCCAAAAAACTCACTGTACACTACCTGCTCAGCAGATAGACTAGCTGGTGAACATAATGGAGCATCTGTTTTTTCCAGAAGTTAAGGTGTTGGAGGGTTCTTCCTCATTAATTAAAGAGCTAAAGGATAAAAAGACAAAATATGTTTTACCTAATGTCAATATACACCAGCTAAATGGTATATTCATTATTACTGAAAAAAGCATTGATACTTTTGCCTTCTGCCATTAGTTCCAACTCAGAACCCTGTTATGAAATATGAAGAAGAGGGAGGTAGCCAAATGTCTGTCACCTTCATTTATGAGTGTATTTGAACATGTATGGATAGACATTTGGAAAGCAGTAGATACCTGTATGAGATGAGCAGCCTCAGGTAACTGTGTCCCTGGGTGTCTCTGATAAACCTGCACCAGAGGCCTGTTGAGTTTCTCTCTGGACAGAATGTCACCGCTGTACTCTGGACCCTGTAAACAGAATAACACAGAATAACACTTTGTGCACATTGTCACTGACTCAAATAAAGTAACTGATCATGTTCCACATACACACTAACCTGCACTCTGTCGTGGCTGTGCCGAATACAGTTAATTTCCCTCTGCTTGCGAAACATGGCCTGTCTGGTGGCTGCTGACATCAAAGTTAGGTTTTGCTACAAAAGAGATAACAAAATGGAAACTATGTTTTGTTATTCTGATATCAAAATGATTAACATGTTGTTTTTGTGTCTACCTGCAGACCGATTGTCTCACTGATTTTCTTCACCAGGCCATCATTGACTGTATGGTGAACAGCTTTCTGCCTGGAGATGGCACTGGTTAGCATCTGTCTGATGTTTTCCCTCAGTAGCTGTGACTGGTTGACTGTCAAACTGGACGACTCTAAAATCTGTTTACATTCTGCAAGAAGACAAATCAGTGATGTTAAACATTGTGTCATTTAAACAGGATATACTGCACTGTTTTTTCAAACATCAAGAGGTCACAAGATCAGTTTAACAAGTGGAGATCATCCTAAAATAACCTTTACTGCATTTTCTGTTACCATTTACAATACTACACCCATTTTACCTCTGAGCACACTGTGGGTCACCAGGAAGGTCAGCAGTACCAGATAGGATCTTTTTCTGAGTGTAAGCAGGTACGTTAGAGTAAATTAAACTGTTACAGTAATGCTCACATACAGTATTTGCACTCTGTACTTTGCCTATTGTAAGACATATTAATGGACAACTACTTATGCACATACCAAAATTACATTTTCAGTGAGCAATTAAGTGAAAGCCTCCAGTCTTGCACAGTTTTTAGCCATGTCCGGAGTGTGCCTCCTAGGAATGTCAATGTACTTTGTGTTTAGTGCTAATTCGTAAATGTTAGAATGCAAAAACATGGTAAAGATGGTGAACATTATACCTACTAAACACTATCATGTTACTTTTTCAAGTTCCATTATTCGTATACATTTTTCGTAATTTATTTAATTTTTTGTTTGTGTGTTATTTGTTCATACACACAGCATCAACATTGGATGTGTGTAAAATGACGCCCCATTTGTGCTTTGTGTAATTTGTCTTTTCTCCAAGTGAGCTGCTACAGCGGCATGACTGCCTGCGGGGACTGATACAGTTTTACTTTGTGTCCTGAGTGTACCTGGTGTAAAGGGGCTGACGGGATCTGCTTTGGTGAAGGTCTGAGCAGCGCAGCGGTGTCCTCCAGCAGAGCTGCTATGAGGCAGCAGCTCCAGGACACGAGCCCTTTCACTGGCGCAGTCCAACAGGTGTTTGCTGCTCTGACCCAGGGCCTGGAAGAGACAGAGGTGAGGCTTAAAAAGCACACATTAGGACTGCAACTAACGATTATTTCCAATGTTGATTAATCTGCAGATTATTTTCCAAATTGATCGATTCAATGTTTTTCTCAAAAAAATGCCAGAAAGTCAAAAAATGTCCACCTAAAGCCCAACGTAACATCTTGAAATGTTTGGTCCAAAACCCAAACAAGTTAAATTTGATTACATCTGTAAGACAAAGAAAACCAGCAAATTCTCACAGTGAAAAGGCTGGTGTGTTAAAAAAAAAACAAACACTTAAATGATTAATCAGTTTCCACAGTAGTTAGAACTATAGTTTAATTGATTTACTGACTAATCGTTTCCGCTCTGGTACAGGTGGTGATATGAGATGATTATAGGATTCTTAAAAAGGAAAATGAGTCAACAGGTGAAGACAAAACAGTGACACTGTATATCACCTGTAGCTGGGTCAGTGTGTTTCTCAGCGCTCCTTCCAGATCCTGTTTCAACTGGGCCAGCTCTTTTCTCTCACACAACAACAAGTAATCAGCTCCATCTCTCTCCTGCAGCAGAGCAGACCTGTCAGTCAACACATCTCCTCTCCTTGACAAATGAAATTCGCAATACAGAGCTTCATGAATTAATCCGTAGGCTGTTGTATCACTTACAACACGTCTGGTGTTGGATTTAAGCTGTAATGACTGTGAAAACGCAACATACTTCTCAGACATTATTGAAAGGATTTAAGAAGCATTTGAAATTAGCAGTATTTAGTAATATAGTGTTATTGTGTTTAATAATGATTTTAACAAAGTTATTACATGCATGTTCCTGCAGGTGAAATCACTAAACATGTCCTGTGCAGAAAATAAACAAAAAAACTGGCTGGTTTTTTTTCTCCTTAGATAAACATTAAAAAGTCAGATTCTAGACATTGAGACCAAATGTCCAAACATTTAAGACAAGTGCAAATGTCATCCCTGTGGAGAAGTTCAGAAGTCAGTAAGAAACAGCAGTCCCAAGTGATAAATATTCTGTGTTTTCCTCAAGGATTTCCTGGTTTATCACACGATGGCCCAAAAAAAAAACAAAGCACAGTGTAGAGAAGTCACTGTTTATAATATGCATTTTGCCTCTTTGGGTAAATGCGATAACAGCCAAGATGTGTAAACTTACTGTCTCAGCAGTGGACGGCCTCCTAGTCCTCCCCTCTGAGCTCCTCCTGTTGACGGTCAGATCAGTCCTGAGGCTGCGCAGCATCCTCTCAAGGTGACCCCTCTCCCTCTCCAGCTTGATGCCCTCCTGGGTCACCCTGCCGGCTTGCCTGCGCAGCTGGCCCTCCACCTCCCGCACCCTTCGCATGTACTCACCGGCCACGGCAATGCTGGCCCCAGCACACCGCTCACGCAAGCTGGTAGGTGGGAACGGGGCCACAGACATCCTCTGGGAGCCACTTGGAAACTTAGGAAAATTAAGAATAATAAGTTAGATTGGAATTTCCAAATGCCTGAGTCAGTGGTGGAAAGTTACAAACGACATTTACTTACAACTTTATACTTTTCAGAGGAAAATATTGTGTATTTTACTCTACAGCTTTAGGTAATAGTTTACATTTGATCAGCTTCTAAAATATGTTTAGCAACATACTGCCCAACAGTAAAGTAGTTAAAATCATCTTTTTTAATAATTTTATTTTAAATGATTTTACATTTATACTGTGCTATAGCCTACTTTTGCTTAAGGAGATGAATTCTTCTTACACCACTGTTTGTCAAAACAAAATAGTCTTTGTTGTATTGCAGTCTAATATAGCCTATAAGATGTTCAAATTGGTCAGGACATTTGTAAGTTTTAGTGTTAGTTTTATTTCGTTTGAAAACATCTCACCTGGTCTCAAGTAACGTTAGCCTGCTTAGATCTCAACACAAATATTTTTGGTGTTTTTTTCTTTTTATCGTTGAGGTGAATAATCTGCAAATGTTTAACCTACTTGTATTACATATTGTTCTTTATCTTTATCACGTTGTTTCGTCAGTTATCAGTCAATTGTCCTCAGTTCGGGTTCTGTCTGCAAGCCTGTGTGTCTCTCACCATCGCTCCTGTTGTCTGGGGCCTCGACATCTTATTTTTGCAGATGGAGTCACGATTCTCTCCGCATTCCTCCTCTGTGATCTTATCTTCGGTTGTTTCCGCTGTGCAGTCTGTGCGCTTTGGGGTAAAACTGGCGGCGGCGCTGCAGCTAGGGGGCCGGCTGGAAGTCCCGGACAGCCCGGCCCGAGTCTGCCGCACCAGGCGCTCAGCCCGCCGGATGGAGCGGACCGTCCCATCGTGCCAAGACTGCGGACCGATGGTGACAGAGCCGAGGGGCACCGACTGGATCTGCATTAGGCTACTTTCACATGCACTTCCCCCCTAATTTCTTTTTTGCTATCAGCTGTTTTTACCTCACTGAATATGATGAACCCCAAAGCTATTTTGTGTCCACTGTGAAGCAAACAGTGGTTAACTTTGTGTTAAGTGTTATCAACCCCTTAGCAACAGTTCCTTAAGTAACTACAAACTCAAAGCTATTTGATGATTGGACAGTGAGGAGGTGAGGGACACTGTCATTCAACACTGGCTTTTACAGAGTTGAGACTCAGGTTCCCGGAAGTTAATTCCCACGTATTTTTATTCTCAGCTGAATCACATGCTAGAGTGTTAACAACTGCGTTAAAATACATTTTACAAGCATATGAATGTTAACACTTCAAGATAAGTTAACTACTACTCCCAAGGTGCATTTCGGCAAAAAAAGAAATTACATTAACAACCATCCAATCACAAAGCTTAAAATGACACGCAACCGCAGCAGTCTCTGTGAGTAACACAATGCAACATAAATTTATTTCTGTGTGACTATTACTGGACGAGTTCGGCAACTGTGGCACTGTTTTTGTTCACTAACTCTGCTACGAAGCGTTTTCAATTCACCATCGCTCTGATTCGTGCCTCGGCCTGACATTGCAACGGCGGCAGAGGCTCATGGGTATTGTAGTAGTTAGAGCCGTACGCCATGCAAAAAAAATGGGACAAAACATCAACTCTGAAACGAAGTTAAAATAAATTAGAAGTGGTGGTCATAAAACAAATCTGTATGATACATTATTATTACTATTAATCTACTGATCGACTCCAGACTGTCCAGAACTCAGCTGCCAGGCTTTTAACCAGAACAAAGAAATATGACCACATTACTCCTATTTTAGCTTCATTACACTGGCTCCCAGTATGTTTTAGAATTGACTTTAAAATTTTATTGATCACTTTTAAAGCTCTTCATGGCCTCTCGCCCTGTTATATTTCTGACCTTTTAGTCCCATACGCACCAGCACGTACCTTGAGATCCTCGGGCAGAGGTCTGCTGTCTGTTCCAGAGTCTCGACTGAAAACTAAAGGGGACAGAGCGTTTGCTGTCAGGGCCCCGAGGCTCTGGAACAGCCTGCCCGAGGAAATCAGGTCGGCTGAGTCAGTGAACTCTTTTAAGTCCCTTCTTAAAACATACTTTTATAGGAGAGCCTTTCCCGATCTTATTTGACTTTATTTTATCCTTTTTATTTCATTGTATTTCACTAGTTTTATATTCATCTTAAACGTGTATTTTAGTGTTTTCATGTTTTTCATGCTTTTATCTTGTATTGTTTTTGTATTATTGTCTCTTGGGTATTATTGTCTTTACACTTGTTAAAGCACTTTGTAACTTGTTTTTGAAAAGTGCTCTACAAATAAAGATTATTATTATTATTATTATTATTATCATCCCCGGGAGTCTTGAGATATTGATATTGTCAAAAGTGGAAATCTTAGATATTGTTTAAAGCAGTGGTTCCCAGAATGTATTTTCACTATAATTCCATCCATAAATAACACAATGACAGAATGTATGGAGGGTTTCATCCACTTTCTGTAATCCTATTAGGGACAAAAAGAAAATCAGTTTAAGGGTCCATGACATAAACATTTGAGAACCATTGGTTTAAAGAAAGTTATTAAATGGGAATACCATGGGGAATACAGAATTGGAAAACATTTAATGAACTTCGGCCCTCCGACTTTGATGGTCATATTTCATCAGGAAGCATGAATGATGTTTAATAAAATAACAGCATCTGTAGATATATTGTAATTTGGATCAGAGTGTTTAATTCTCTTGAGCTAAAAGAAAGAAAATGTCTCCAATAACAAGTCCAAGTCTAATAAGACATGTAAACATTAAAGATAACTGAAAATACTTCAAAAAAAAATTTGAGACAAAAGCAGAAAATGATCCTACATATTCCCCTCCTCAAGTGCTAAGATAGTACAAAAACTTGGCAGATCTGTACTGAGAAAGTAAAGAAAAACACAAGACACCACTCATAGACCTTCACAGAATAGAGACAACAAATTTAGATGGAAAGCACCATCGTACCCAAATCACACACAAATGTTAGATCCACTAACAATACCATTCAAAAATGTTGTATCAGCAAAAATCCCACTGCATAAAATTATATCACTGACTAACCATTAGGCCTGTTACATTCAAAAAATTAACTAATTACAGTAATCTGGTGATTTTTAAATAATGTATTAAATATCCAGATAGAAGATGCTAGACCCGACGCTGTCTGACTCTCTAAATATGAATTTACTGATTCACTCCAGAGTTCAGTAGTAATTGTGGAAATTAAACCTTTCTTCAGCCAATGCCAGAACAAGACAAGTAGACATATAAATAAAAACAGACTTAATGTACACCACAATAAATACGCTGAAGTGTCAAAAAGGTGGTGCAGAAAGTGCAAAAGTAATCTTCCGCCTGTGCAGTTAGTTTGCGTTGTGTCAGTACATCAGCCCTGTTGTCTTATCACAGTGTGTGTTTAATGGCGGTCAGAGGTTCACGTTTGTTCTGCAGATTCTGCTGCAGCTCTGTGAATAGATGGTCCCGCTCCTCAGCATCCAACAGGATTTGCTTTATTATAGAAAAATAAAAGATGTCAGTCAGTCAAGTATTCATAATGGAGCTCAGATTATCACACTCTAAAAAAGGGATTCTGTTACATATGTCACACAGAATATTCAAGTCATTTTTATTTATATAGCACCAATTCATTACAGAAGTTATCTCAGGGAATTTTCCAGGTCTAGACTGTACTCTGTAATATTATTTACATAGACCCAAAAATTCCCACCATGAGCAAGCAGTTGGCAACACTGGCAAGGAAAAACTCCCTTTTAATAACAGGCAGAAACCTCAAGCAAAACCTAAACTCGGGTGGGCGGCCAACTCTCGACTCTCTGGTTGAGTGAGAGAGGGTGAGAGTGAAAGCACAAGAAAAGAGGACACTCAGTAGCACAACTTGTTAGGAGGATCAAACATATAATGTCCACAACCTCTAAGCTTGGCACTTTACTTTTTTGTTGATCAACTTTTCTCTTTTTAGAATTAACTTCTCACTTTAATCAGAATACACCTTGTGGCTGCATTGCATTATGGTCTACAGAAGCACTGCTGGTGAGAAATTAATCACCGTTTTCCACAATATATTTTTCTTGGTATGACTGAGTCTATAAAAAGTGCTTCAGGGGTGTATTACTTTGTGCTCAGTTGCTCTTTTGTCCCCCCTTTTGTTGTCTTCCTAAAGTAATTGTTTTCAGACAGGTCAGCGTGGTATGTGGAAGTATGACACTGTGCACAAAAGTAACTTGATAAATTATCTAGCTACTGTTCTGATCACTAAAGGCAGAGCAAACCAAACTGGCATGACAACATTTGTACTTTGAGCTCCTTGGACCCGTGACAAATGTCAACTGATATATTCTCAACAAAACAATCTGTTACTTTCACTCTACGTCAGCGTTTAAGCAACTTCACACCAGTGCAATTTTTCAGTTGTTAACAAATTAATGTAGATAATTTTACTGTAACATTTACTTGGTGTTGATAAGTGTTTGGCCTTCAAATTAATCATGTTTAACAAAATAAATCTGCCTTTTTTGATAAATATTGGAGTGACTGTAAGACAGTAAGTAGCATATTCTAGCACTTTACCTCTATAAGTTTGTCTCTCTTCTCCAGGCTCTCTCTGAGTTTCCTCTCCTCTCTCTCTCTGTCCTCTCTGTTGTTCTGCCAGGCTCTATGAGTCTCCTTCTTCTCCTTCTCCTTCTCCCTCAGCTCCTGCCGAGTGTCTCTGAGTTGAGCTGTCAGAGAAGACACCGTCTGACTGTGACTCTCCTGCTGGTTCTGGTGAAAAAGCAAAAGAAATAGTTAGAAAGGCTGAGATTTGTTTTTGCTATGTTGTGTGTGTTGTCTTTCAGCGTTATGAAAAATCTACGAAATGTTAAAACATCCAACTTCCCAGATCTCAATAACACATCTTCAAATGTCTCGTTTTATTTGAACAAAAGCCCAAAATCCCAAAATATACCCTTGTTCATGTTTGGCATTTTTCACTTTATTGTTAAGTGAAAAATTACTGAAACACTGAATCGATTATAAAAATAGATTATTTTTCTGTCGATTGACTAATTGATTAACAGACTAATTGCTTCAGCTCTACTCCAAACAATGCAATCATGGCCTTGAGTCTAAATAAATCTGATCCATTTTTATATTTCCTAAAAGTTATCTAAAATCAAAGTGTAAATTTTTTATCAAAGTGTGTTTAAAATACTTAGCAGGCGAGTTTCAGTTTTTTCTTTAATGTATTCAACTTTTAATGCTAATAGCTCACCTGCACCATGTCCTGGTATTCCTGCAGGGCTGTGGTGAGTTTGGTGACCTCCTTGCACAAGGTTGCGCTGTTTTCCTCTCTGTCCCTCAACAGGACTGCCAGCTCAGCCCTGCCTCCTGCCAACCCCTGACCAGTCACAGTGTCAGAGACAGCCTGGAGGAAAATGACATGTGAGCAAAAAGCAGTGGTAAAATTCAGTATTTACTGACAAACCTCATCTGAGGCCAGAAGGAATGAAGACTCATTCAATAATACACAGAGAATGAAAGCTCTGCAGCTTTCTTTTAAAAAGGTAGTAGAAGTTCAACTTTCACTTAGTCACTTTAAACCCTGTCACACTGCAGCTATCAGAAAGATTAAAAAAATATTTTTTATATATATATATATATAAACCAGAACAGTGTCCAACAGCTAGCACCCTAATATTATAAAACCCCACCAGATATCTTCAACTGTGTGTTTATGATTCACCTATTATTACATATAAGTACTTCTCAAAAATGTTGGTGTTTTTAAAATCAGATAGCTTATCTTATTTTTTGTTCAAATAGTAGATCATAATATTGTAGACTGATTTGTAGAATGGACTGTGTTCATCATCTCTCCGTAGAATTTCTTGCACTTAGTTTTTATTATATAAAGTGAAGTGCCGTTCATATTTATCATAATGATATATTTACCTCAAAAATAGAGCAGCTAGCATTTTAAGAGACAAGTAAAAGATTACAAGATTTCCACTTTTGACAGTTCGACAGTTTAATTTATAATCTTTAAAATGAACTACCCCATCCCCAGATGAAATTACTCCCAGGTGTACATATGTTACCTGCACATCTTTCTGATGGCTCTCCAGCTCCTCTTTGAGGTAGTGGATCAGAACCTCCTTCTCCTGCAGGACAGTTGTGAGGGCCTGGTCCCTCTGTCTCCACATCTCCTTCTCTTTCTCCGCCTCCTTCAGTAGTCTCTCCTTCTCCCCCAGAGCTACTCGCAGGTCCTGGAGCAAAAATGAAAGACAAGTCTATTTAAATAAAACTTTAAGTACATGTAGAGTGAACTGTGCAAGGGACGTACAAATGTACACAGTGCCTAAATGTAGTAAGATTTGTGTGTTAAACTAAACCACAATGTTTGTAATACCATCCCTGGTTCACTGTGTGTGTTCTCTTACGTTGATAACATCCTGGTTGCACTGCAGCACAGTGTTGAGTGTGTCAAGGTCTCTCTCTCGGTCTCTTCCAGCCTTCCTTAGACCCTCGATCTCTTTCTCCATCTCCTCCTCTTTCTCAGTCATTTCAGTCCTCAAAGTCTGCAGGGCTGCCTGCACATCACAAAACATATTACATGTTAGATTTAAATACATATGTAAAGTTGAACCAATCAGTTGACTGGGATTTGATACTTTGTTGTCATGCATGATAGTAAACTGAATATATTTCAGTTTTGGAATACTGATCAAGTCAAAAGGACAGACGACACCAAGGGGAACTGGTGTTTTCATTAAGAGTCCAAACAATTAATTTTAATAATATTCGGCCAATTAATTGAAAAATGAATATAATCATAAGTTGCAGGCCAACATGGTTTGATTTTCAGCTGTATTAAAAGGTGTTTGCAACAGTCTGTCTGAAAAGACAAATTCAAACATTATCAATGTGACTAGAGAGTCATGATGTCAGTAGATTTGTAAAATTTTAGTCTCTACTCATCTTTATTTGCCTTCTGAGAGGCACCGGATCAGTACTTAAATCAAGTAAACCTCACCTAACCCCATTTTACAAGCTAAACTGTCTCTATGACTATAGCATTAAAGGCCTTTGAATATAACATGTCAAGGTGGTCAAGTCAAAATCTCCATGAAACACAAGATGATGATATGTGTGATTTAATGACAGAAACAACAGAGTTAACTCAAAACAGTGTTTGTAATTTCAGCCATGTTTCCAAAGAACTAGAGGAAATTGCTGACATGCTACTGCTAGACTGTTAAAATGTCCTGCAGGCGGGAGGAAGAAAAAATTCCTCATCACAAGACCAACACTGCTAACGTAAAAGCCTTCGGGGACACAACAACTGAGTCTGATGACTATCAGCAAAAAAGTCTGTCTGCTCATGTTGATAACTGCTATGCTTCAGTGAGTCATACTCGTCATCATAAGCAGACCCAGCATTACTTATAACTTATCACTTAATGTCAATACTCAGGACAGTGTCAGCTCTAACCTTGTTGTTAGAGAGAATTTCCTTCAGATTCTCTGTCAGTTTCTCAATCAGCTCGTTGGCCAGCTCAGTCCCTGCTCCCTCCTCCACACACAGTCTTCTGATCAGACCCATGTACTCCTGGAAGAGAGGAAATATCTGTCTTCTCAGTGCAAAATTAGAAACCTACGCATCTAAAAGCACTGTTAGGGCATCTTTTTTTGACATCTTTACTTGAGTTTAAAGATTTAAGGTTTATCTAAGTGCAGATTTTTAGAGAGTTTATGAAGCAATTTCAAGCATGAATATTACACAGGTTCATAATAACTAGAGCCAAGTGTTCATATAGTGTAATTAAAGCTGATATTTATGAAAATAAGAACCACTGCAAACATCAGAAAGTGTATTCACAAATCTACAGATCCATTAAAACAAAATAAATTATACAAAATAAATTTGCTATCTAACTCAATATTTACTGCCTATAAACAGCTTATCCATGATGTAAGCATACTGCATTGATAATCTTTAATAGGTTGTATTCCATTCAAGCACCCTTTGGTTCAGATAAGGAAGCCTTGGCTCATCTTTCTGATGGACAATCCTATTTGCTTTAGCCATTTAGCTGTCGCGTCTCTGCTGTGTATCATCAGCGTAACAAGCACCTAATAAAAAAGTGCTGTCCTGATCAAAGCTTAATAAAACATACTTCAGCGTCACTGGTACAGTGTGGTGAACAGACAAAAGCAAATGCAGTTCTGGCACTGCCACTTTAAGAGCGTGCAATGCCTTCAAAGACAAACAACATTCCAGTGAACTCCCCGGCAGCAGCAGAAGATCCAACTGCTGTGTGCATGACTGAGTCTTGTCTCCATCACCTCACCCACCTGGATCAGACGCTCCCTGCTGTGCAGGGAGTGACCAAGGCTCTGCAGCACGGAACTGCCACCCTCCTGCTGGACCAGCTGGAGGAAAGAGGAAAACAAATGACAATGGTTTCTTTTAAAAGTCAGAGCAGTAGATCAAACTGTGGTGTTAACTATTCTTGGTTATGGCTGAGGAAATATACTCCATATACTAAGAGTTTTAGGGTTTATTTTTATTAATCGTTCAATCGGTAGATTATTTTATCGATTAGTAGTCTATAAAACACCAGAGAATTGTAACAAATATGTGCAATATATCCACATCATCCCAGAGCATGAGGTGACATAAAATGTTTGTTTTTTTTTCTAACAAACAGTCCAAAACCTAAATATATTGCATTTACTACAACAAATCCCAAAAAGCTACAAATTTGATAACCTGAAACATTTGACATTTTCGTTTAAGAACAGTTTAAACAATTAATCAATAACCCTAAAACACTTTAGTTAAAATAGAATATTTAAATTAAGCTAGGGTAGGCAATTTATTTTATAAGCATTTCGTTATATTTTTTGAAGTTCTATTTACATCCCAACACCAATCAATAAATGAAATGCTCCGACTGTGCATGAAAATGTGTTTTGGAGGGAGAAGGTGGGATCTTTTCTCTTGCTAGTTCTTCAACGTTGACTACCCCAGTTTTAAAGCTGATCTGATTAGTCAATCAGTGGAAAATGAATTAGCAACTATTTCAATACTTGTCTAATCGTCAGCCAAGCAAAAACATCAATCATTCTCTGGTTACAGTTTCTCAAACATGAGGATTTGAAGCTTCTCATAGTTTCATATCATAATAAAGACAAAATAAGACATCTGAAAGTCAAGTTTAAAAAAATATTTTCTGACATTTTATAGAGAAAGCAATTAACTGGCAAATTGATTAGAATAGGTATAAATAGTTGAATAATGAGGGGATTTATACAACTTTACTTCAATTACTTACTACAGTAGGTGAACGCACCACTGTTCAAAGGCACTTCAGTGCATACAACAGTAGGTGAACACATCATTGTTCATACAGTGTGACAGTCTTCAGTTCAGTGGTACGTTTAGTCTGTTGCTTGTTCAAGCGGTCACATTCAGAAAAAGCCTAAACAAGCACTGCATATAAGGTTAATAGCTCAGCATCTTATTTACGGTTACCAAATTATGATTGTTTCTGTGGCTTTCACTGTCTTTTAATAAGTTTACAAGGAAATAACATAGTGGGAATCACAGCTGAGCTGACAACAGCGCTCTCAATCACTACTGAGGAGCTCCACTGATTCAATCAGTGACAATGGTGATTTAGTATAGTCAGTTCATTTTGAAAATGTGTTGATATAGATTTGTTCGTACATGTACTGAACTACTCCCACAGATTTCACATGAATTCTTACTAATATTCAAAACAGTGGCCCTCATTGTGACAGAGATGAGGTCATGTGGACTCTACAAAGCAGCTGGGAGGTTTTTTAATGATATCCTCCATCATAAGACTACAGGGCCTGGGGCAAACTCCACTGGTGGGGTAGATTCCAGAGAGAGTGTGTTTGTGTGTCTTTATCTGCACCTGTAAATGAGAAACTGGACACACCCTTCCACAGGCACAAAACACAGTACACCCACCCCTGAATCCTTTCATAATCCTATATTTGCACTCAGTCAACATTCACATAGTGGTTTATGGAGCTGTTTGGACATGTGACTGAGGAGCTGCTGTGCAACGTTGCAAACCTGTTTTTCTTGGGTAAAAAAATGGTTAGAAGTAATACCTCTTATGTGATAACCTACATCGCAATTCAATCTTCATTGATTTTATTCATTTATGATTATTTTTTTATTAATAAATTGTAGGGCTGAAACGATTCATCGATTAAATTGATTAATTCGAGTACTAAAATGCATCGACGCAAATTCTTTGCATCAACGCTTCATTTAATCCATACTACATAGCACAGCAGTGTTTTGGACACTGTCGCACATCGCGCTTACCTGAGTGAAAATGACGTGATTATGATGGCGCTGTTTGCAAAGTGGAGGAAGAGTGAGAAAATAGTGAGGGACGAAGAAGAAAGTGTATAAAGTATGTGATTATTTCAAGCTAAAAGAAATAGAAAAAGAAAAGAAATTCTGTAATGTTACAGTCCGTCCACCGTAAAACAAAACTTATGTCGCCTCGGCATCTGATCAGAAAGCATCCGGTGTTCTGACAGCGGACCACAGACAAGGTAACAGTAACAACAACTTTAGCATTTAACTGAAATCATGATTGATTGTTGAGCTGAAGGCTAGCCAAAGTAAGCCGCAATCCTCAGCTGAAAATGTACACATGTGTTTGTTGTTCTCCTGATTGGGCCTCGAGTTTGGGTTGTAACGTCACAGTCATGAGTTAACTGGGTGTCGGGGAACTGCACCTTAGTATAACTTGTATAGCACTCGGGTGATGTTTGTGTTTGTATGCAGCTGTCTGGTTGTCGGTCAGTTGATATTGTTGGTCTGATGTTTGCTGTATGACACACTATGAATTTCCAGAGGGACGAATATATATCTATCATCTATCAACGTACATAGCAGATCCTGTTACCGGGGAGGGGGCACTGCCGGCAAGCAAAATTACTTTTTAAACGATGCATAGACGAATCGATAAATAATCTATAGAAGCTTCGAGTACTAAAATCATCATTAGCTGCAGCCCTAATAAACTGATACCACTCTCTTCAATCATCTATCTCAAATAGGATGCTTCAGCTAGCAGCCAGTTAGCTTAGCTTAGAAAAAAAGACTGAAAACAGTTCACTTATGATCACATTATATCTATATCATGACAAATTAGGGTTTTACTAAATGTCATGAGCTGGACTATTTCTTGTTACTATTTGTCCAGGATTAAACAAGTTATAACTTGTTTAAGTTTAGGTTCACATTTTGTCTGTCTTATAATTGTTAGGTGTCCAAAGGTACAATGAAACAGGTTTAGTTTGCTGTAATCATTCTTCCTGTTTGACCATTACGAAAATACTTCCTAATGTGGCATCAGTGCAAGTGATGGGAGACAAAATCCACAGCCCTGATTCTACAATACATCCTAAAGTTTATTTAATGCTAATGTGATGCTCCAGCAGCCGGCGTGAGACAAATCAAGAGGGTAACAGTTATAATCTTTTTAGTACTAAATTCCCTATTTTTGTTTCTTGGACAGTGTTTCTGTGTTGAGATGCAGTGGAGAGACAGAACCACAAAGAGGTTAATTTAATACTACAAAAACTAACTGTGGAAAATACGTACTTTGACTATTTGACTAACTGAAGCCTCATATTAGCTTTCCATATCTTTATGCTAAGCTAAGCTAACTGGCTGACAAGAAAGTGAATAAACATACTTTCCAAAATGTCAATCTAATCTTTCTGCATTTAACTGTTCCAAAAGAGTGTGGGAGACAACAAACTGAATACTTACAGGGGTCCAGTCTTCTGATCCGTTGACTTCCATTGGTTTGCTCTTCCCATGTTTCAGCTCGGCCTCCAGAGTCCTGATGCGGGACATAGCTTGGTCCAGCTGGCCTCGCAGGTGCCTGACAGCTTGGTGAATCCTGCCAGTAGTGCTCTGAAATCACAAATTATTCTATAGTAAACATTCATTGTGAAATTTTTTTAGTACAAATATCAAGAGAAATGTGCAGTTCTAATCTTGTTGGACACCTGGACTCTGTTGCTCCTGGATTATCAACTACAGTACATTGTGTCAATATTTGCAGCCAATAGCACACACAGAGCATCTTGTCAGAGTTCTTCTCAAATATACAGACGTTACAGTTTAATTGTCTATAGCATGCTCAGACAGGAATGAAAACACTCACCTCTCGTTGAAGAGGCATGTACTCGTCCCTCAGCTCTGTTAGCTCGTCCCCATCCTCTTCATTCATTTCATCGCCCCCGTTCTCCACATCACCAAAGTTCAGCACCCTGTTCACTGAGGGTGACGCCACCTCTCCAACTTTTCCTGAATACCTCCCGTCCTTCCTGCCCAGAACTGGGATCCTACTCCCTGATGGCGAACTGACCGGCTTCCCCTCAATACTTCTCAGCTCCTTTAGCACAAAGTTGGCTGACTGCACACCCGGCGAGTCAAACGGGTCGTTGTCATTAAGAGAATCCAGAGACTGAATGGACTCAGTGCGGTAAGACGCTTGTAAAGAGAGAGTGGACCCTGCCGGTGAAGACAGGCTGGAGCTGATGGATGGCACTCTCTGCCAGTGGAGGGGCATGCTCCGGGATTTGTCCCGTGACAATGCCAACGGGGAGAAGGGTTGGACAGGCAATCGGCGAGGAACCCCACAAACTGACTCATAATCCGAGTCGGACACTCGTAAGGAATCGCAGCCTTCACATCCTTTGCTCTTGCTGCATCTTTTACCCGTTCTTATAAAATACGGACACGTGTCCCACTTCTCGGACCAGCACTCATACTCTGAGAGTGCCATATTCTCTTTAAGCATCTCCCTGTAGCCCTCCCGCTCGGCTTCTCCATCCTCCTCGCTGGTGCTGCCCCTGCTCTGGAGTCCTGTAGGTGTCTCTGGTGGTACTTTTGGCGCACCCACTGTCTGATCTTGTCCCTCTCCTGCATCAGCTTCTGAAGCCTCTCGGATGAAAGCACCCTCACCCTGGCTATCACCGAGTCGAACTTGAATACCCGCTCGAGGATGCATACGCATTTGCCACAAACAAACTCCCCTTGCCCACTGCCACGTGGTACGGACTGCCCCAGTATGTGAGTCAACACAGAGAGCAGATCCATCCCTTTGGACGGGGAGTTCAGGGACACCTGGGACTTGGAAAGAGACACTGAGGAACCCAGTGATAATGTGCTGCCTGTGAAGAATAAAAAAAAAGGTTACTTCAGACCCAAGAGGCATAAAGTATGTGACCAAAGTTTCTTTATTTCCTTATGCTCCAGACTGACCCCAGGGGCTGCTCTGCGAGGACCGGGACAGGCTTCCTCCTCTCAGGGACTCTGTTGGGGTCTGAGGCTGACCGGTCTTCTTATTTTGGACCCCAAACAGCCACCTCCTTTGGTTTCCCTGGAGACCTCCGCCACATATTCGGCACAAGTCAGTTTTCCCTCTGTAGGACATTGTGGACAGAAGGCCGATACAATCCCCCTTGTTGTCAGCCAGATGTTGGAAATTCTCTGTGAATTAAAGCAGAACATTTTATTTACAGCAGTTATTCTTATCTGGGAGTCAGAAACCCACGACTTAAAACTTTTGTCTTTGTTTTTTTTACTCATGCCAGCAGCGTGGCTCCAGGGATGGTAATGTCAGTCGGTGCACCACTTTAGTCAAGACAGAAATACTCAACAACTGCTGATATGGTTTCCCATAAAATTTTGTACTACTGACTTAAGTGATCCCCTGACTTCTCCTCTGGCAGAATCAGCAGGTACACATATTATCCATGTCCCCTTCAGGATGAATTAGTAAACCTTTCACTTTCATCAGCGCCCATCATCAGATAAATATTTTACTTTGTACAGTATACGCATGCACATGCGCAGAACGAAAAGCATTTAGAATAAATCATGATGTTATGTCAGACCAACTGTCCAAAAATGTAATTTTTAATGCAATGATTCACCTTTTTTGAAAGGAATTACTGGCATTATTGGTAAAAAAAAAAAATAAATAAAAAAACAGATACTCAAACGATTAATCAATTATCAACAATGGATTATTGGGCAGAACAAAACAAGACATCACCTTTGCTCATCGATTAATCAGATTAATCAATACTGAACATATTGATTAGTAATATTATCGATTAGTATCGTTAGTTGCTGCCCTAACATGAAGCAACTTCTCTTTGTTTGACCGTCATCACAAGGTTAATATGTTTACAGGTTGTGAGCAGTTCAAGTCACTTTGTTCCAACACTGTCTGTACTTCAGAAGAAAAGGGGGGATTATTAACTACGCGTTTGAGTAAGCAAGATGGCTGCCACGCGTATCCTGCCTTCCTTTGGAGCGTAGGTTGTGCACGTCCCCAGGAATTAACGCTTCACGTCCGCGAGATGCAATTCTACACATGAACGCGGGGGCAGTATGTCGATCTGACCAGCACGTCAGCAGCAATTTTAAAAAAGGAGATTTATGGCGGGATGTTTCCAATAAAACTCCTGGAGCTAGTCCGCAATTACCGAAATCGTTATGATGTCTAATTAAAATCACAACCTGCTCGAGTGTCGCAATGTTTGGTTTGTTGACAACGTGCAAATTCGGAGGAAGATAATCCGGTGTCTGCGAGGGATGACCCGATCCTAGTCTGCCCCCTAGCGGATACAGGTTTAATCCTCCAGGTACACGCAGAGTACGAAGGCAAGTATGTGAACAATGCCGTTTGCATCGTCTACGCCTGCACATTGTTAAAGAGCAAGTATATCCAGGGCTTCACAGTCAGAAAAGTGACCCTGCAGATTTACCTTGTGACCACTTTGGTGGGTCCCAACCCTTAGATTGAGAACCACTGGTTTGACACCTTTATTGTCACAGTATTCATTATAGCAAAGTCAGCATGGCTTGTAGCCTAAGAGCTGGCTTCATTTTCCAGCTCTAATCACAGTGAACAGGAGGGAGGAAGTTTATTTGAGCCATCTAATCTGACCAGTTTGGCGTTGACATTTTCTCCCTGGTGCTTTGAGTAGTGATTTTGTTGCATTTCTTCCCTGCATGAGTGTTTTGGCCGGTTTATTGCAGCCTACAGCTGCTGTGTGTTTACAGTAGCTCCCCACAGGGCGGGACACGTCGACCTTGAGCCACGCTCACAGTGAATTCAGTCAGACTGTCAATGAATGAAACTTTCTCTTCAATATTTAGTCTCTCCTTTAACCTTTGCCACTCATAGGACGCCCGCAAATGTTTTTATATCAAATGTAACACATTCTTCAGTCATTTCAGCCTATGTAAGAAGAAATAAGTAAGACTGCGTTGGCAAATTGTGCTCTTTTTTCTTTTTCACATATGGAAATCCTGAATTACAACCACAAACGTGATACATTGCCTGTGTCCTTGACCTTTGCTGTTTAAAAACAACAGTTTAAAGCAGTGATCTTTTTTCGGGATCCACAAACAGCACGCCACATGTTTCCAAAAGGGAAACTCCTCATCATCCAGTGGAAAACAGTTCGTCAATCTGATGCTATTTTAAGAAACTGACGTTCAGCGATTCAACGTGAAATAACGCCAGCCTGTGAAAGTGGAGCTGCAGTCGTTTTTCACTATGCACACAAGGATACCGCCAGCTTTCACCGCTTACTTCAGTCTGACTTAAGGTAGCTTCACAAACACACAATTAGCTTTCCTGAAGTATTTTGAAGCGCAGTCTTACGTTTGAGTCTCCCCGGGCTTCACGCGCTGAACAGGATAAAAGTTAAAGTCCGTCAAGCGAGGAAGAAATCTTCATTGTCGTCTCCCAACAGGCGGCTGAATGAGGCGAAGTTACCAAAAAAAAAAGACATGGAAGCGTAAGGTAGGTAACAACCTTCTTACAGGAAAAAATCTCCACCGGGAACTGAGGTTGCAACACGGAGCAGAAGAAGAGAGGTGGGTGTCACCTTGCTTGCGTCATCAGTCATACCTGTTTGGAGCGGCGCGAGCGAGAGGGAGGAGGTCTGCAAACATTGAGAGACTGTTTTTTTTTTTTTCTTTAAACAGCACACAGTTCATCAGCACAGAAAGGGAGACCTGTCATGTTGTCACTCCGCACTGCACAGCAGATTGTTTATTAACAGCTTTTCAGAACAAAACACTAAGCTAACAAACATATTAGAGTAATTTCTGCTACTAAAATAATCACAACCTCACAATTATGACTTGTTTTTTCCCATTATTATGAGAATGAGAAAGTGCCATTCAGGCTGGAGGTGATTTGATAGATGGGTGATTTTGCTGGGTCAGTGATTTATCAACTACCGGTATGTAGTCTACTATTTTGAGCCCGGTGTTTTTAGCCTATATTTGTTTACATTTTGGCAAATTAGCATCATTAAAATAATGCCGAACTAGCTTTTAGGAGTTCCCACTTGCATTGCACCCATGAATGTACAGACAACGATCACAGGATCACTTTGATCATGAAGACGACGTAGAAAGGTGATGATTCTCAAGTTATGAAGCGTCTTTTCTCAATCACAGTGGATATATGGACGTTTATTCGCGATGGACGTCGCAGATAACGACATATTCAGCAAGTATAGGTTACATTCAATGATGTCAATATGTTTTTTATGTCTGTGTGTTCAGATTTGACTGAGTTATAATGAAGAACTTTATATAATTATGAAAGCGATGAATGTGATTAATAAGTCATTTGATGAGATAATTATTGTATGTTCATATTATTTTGTTGTGTTTTAAGAATCAGGAACAAGGGAAAATAATGGCATAATGAATATTATTAATAATTACAGTTTGTGGCACACTAATTAAGTTTTGCATTGAACACATTTTCTTACCAAATATTATGCCAAGAATTTAAATTAGAAATGATAAGAACCAGAATTAATTTGGGAAATACATCATATGCACATGTTTTAAAGTCCCCTTTTTTCTATTATCTCTGAATCCATAATTCAACCCCTGTGGATCAGTTCAATGAGGGAAATCAATTTGTTTAATTGATTGATTGCTGCTTTAATCCAATCATGTGTAAAGGAGTCAACATGCATACTCTACAGTCAGGAGCTGATGCATGCAATACAGGTTATCAGGACAAGCTGCATAAACAGCTTAACTCTCAATAATGAAACAGGATAGACATAAATCAATGAAAATATTTATCAAAACAAAAGGCATAAACATGTACAGACAATCACTAAAAATGACTGACTTATAGTTAAAAATGTTCTGTTTCTGTGTTGACTCAATTCTGTGGTCAATTTTGAGGCTGTACTTAAAAGGTACAAAGCAGATTTATTTGTCACAGTACAACAGGTTGTAAAATCTTCTTTTTCCTAAAGTCAACGATTAGCTCCTTTGTTTTGCTGACATTGAGCAGCAGGTTATTCTCTGTGCAACACTCTGGAAGATTTTCAATTTCCTCCCAAGATGAAGTCTTATCTTTGTTTGAAATCCGGTCAATGATGGCGGTGTCATCTGCAAACTTCATAACAGAGTTCTCTCCGTTTCGGGGACTGCAGTCGTGGGTGTACAGCATGAACAGGAGGTGAGGGGCGATTTATATTATATTATATTATTATTATTATATTATTATATATTTATATATATTATTTTGTTTCATGGGGGAGATTGTGTTGAATGCTGATCTGAAAATCACAAACAGTATTCTGATTTTGTTTCTCTATGGTGTGTGATGGCTGAGTGGAGGGCAGTGGAGATGGCATCCTCTGTGGATCTGTACTTCGTGGTACTGTTTGTATTTGACTGTATAATATTTACATTTCAGGGTTCTAGTTAAAATCTTATCTTGAAGGTTAGCGCCACAAAAAAGTGCCTTTTGGAATGACTTAATTTTTTGAAAGGAACAAGTGAAAATTAGACATATATATATTATTTGGTTTGGGCAAAAGTGTAAGTGTAAAATTGTCAAAGGATCACTTAACACCAAATCACATACATATCACATACCACTAAGCTTCTCTCTGTGGGTTTAAACTCTCCAACCTGTTGCATTTGTATCAGAAGAGCAACCAAAGTTTCATCCCAAAGCATGGAGAAATCTAGTAAAGGGACTAAGACTAAAGGGCAGAACTGAACTCAGGTCAGTTTTTGTTTTGTATATTGTTGTTTCACATGCTGATTCTGTAACAGTGGAGACCCACTAGAAGGAACGAATCGCCTCCACCTCTACTCTCTTATTAATGCGGGTGTGTCAAATCAAGCAAGCTCGCCAGTAGCTTGCTTATTTTCAAAACATTGTGTAAATAAGCAAGGTGCACTTTATCCAACAATTTGCGTGAAGTTATGCAACACTTCTGTTTGTATCTGTGGAGGCCAAGGACATAGAAAAGAGGGACTGCAGAATGCACAATAATGGTCTTCTTCTCCACAGACATCTCTCCACAGCAGGTAAAGACTAAACTTCCTGACCCACCATTGCAATGCTTTTTGTCAAAAAAACTGCATAGCGGTTGAAAACTTGGTTTAGTTTTCAAGTTTATGCAATTGAGAATGAATGGGGGCAAAGTCTGTGTCGCATCATGCTGCCTTCAGTGTGTCTATACCTTAGGCACAGGTGCTTTGAGCTAAATTAAACATCAGCATGCTAACATGCCCACAATGATAATAACATGCTAATGCTAAAAATGTTTACAATCTTGTTTGGCTTGTTAGCATGCAACATTTGCTAATTGGCAATAAACACAAAGTACAACTGAGGCTGATGGTAATGTCATGAAATGATTTTGGCCTACTAAAAGTGGTCCGCACCCCGCCACACAACACTGTTTCAGCCAGCAAAACCACTAAGCGACCTTTGCGGTAGTATAGACCCCATGACCAGCATAGGGGCCCCGTGGCCAGCATAGGGGCCCCTACAGTCACTGCTTGCCAGTGGCGGAAAAATTCACTGAAAAAACAAACATTAAATAATAAAATAAAATGAAAGACAGCCCTCTATATTACCATAACCACCATAATAAGCATAGCATTAGTGATTTTTTAAATTTAGTATACTATGGAAAATCAGATGAGACTAAAAGGCTATGACCTCTGACTCCTGCTGGGTCAGTCAGGCTTGTTTGATCATATTTGTCTGGACTTGTAAAAAGACAACAGAAGAGCCTCAAAGACGAGAGGAAGCAAGAAGATAAAGGTATGTAAGCCCACGGGCTCAGTTTTCCTATGCCTGTATTTTTAGATAATCTGAACATTAACTAGCCTTGGTTAGCCGCGCTGGTATTAACAATGCTAACGCTATACTTGCTAACCGCGATTAGCATCACAACTTTTACAAATTGCATAAAATTGGTATAGTATTAGTATTATACCATAGTTTAGGATTGGGCAGTTGATTTAATAGTGTCATTAGGAAATGGGTCTTAATTCAGTTTAAACCATTATCTTTTATCTATCTAACGTTAACATTATCTATGGAGCTGTGCTGTTCACTTCTGGAGTTACAAAGCACAAACTGCCAGATTGTCTTGCATTATAAAATCCTCCAGATCTAAGCTAAGAACACAAGTCATTTCAATTCAGTCAATTTATTTATTTTGTTTTATTATTTGATAGCAGGTCCATCAGCCTCCAACTCTACCTCCATCATTGCTATCATCCAAGAAGCTGACAATGCTGGTAAGTTTAGGCCTACATCAACAATAAATGAACTTCTAGGAACACCCAGTGTATGAACATGTCAACTTACTAAAATTAATTATTTTCTGTGTTAATCTGACTCATAGGTCTACCTGTGCCTACTGTAGTGGAGAGCAGTACTATCGTGCTTACTACCACACCTGGCTCTCCAGTTTGTACTCCTCCAGTGGATCCAGCTGACTGAATAATAAAGATTATAGTCCAGTTATTGTTTTTAATCAGAACCAACTTTATTGCCAAGTAGATTCAAGAAATTTGCTTTGGTGAATTTGTGCTAAACAAGCATGGCAGGTTTAAGAATGTAAAAAAGATTCGTCGGGTCTTATTTAAAAACAAGAGATGTTGTTTCTGTGTCATATATGGGGACAACGCCCGACAGTCAGAGGGGCCTTCCAACTAAATTTTGATTAGGGTCCCCGAAGGCCCTGGGCCGGCTCTGCGTTCCAGCGATGATTTGTGTGTCAGGTATCTTTAAATGACTTGCCCACAAACTTTCAGCTTACTTTCCTGTTTGCCAAGACATGCTTAGAGTTGTGATTGGTTGTGATGTTTGCTATATAGCAGGAGAGTTGTGAGTTTCATTGATCTGGTGTGCTGGCTCCGGGACCTCCTCGTCCTCTCTGCGTGTTAGCTAAACAGCAGTAACTGTAGCGACAGTGTGCTAACACACAACTTAGCTAATGTTCGTTACAGTACTTGCTGTGTCATTTTTCACTCTGTATCATTGTAGGCCATTTGTCATGGTACTGGATTTCTCAGGAATCGCATACCCAACCTTTACACACCAAAGGTATTGTACTGTCATTAATTCTGTGGGAATTAATAGTTGTTGCAACATTTCACTCAAAACTAAAATTGTGAACCTCATGGTAGCGCTAGAGGAAAATTCAGGGTCATCACGTTTCTTCTCTAAGGGAATGTGAATGTTTGTATTTCATGGGTAAATATTCCTTTTTTCTTCTGTTTCTAAAATGCACACCTTTGCACAAACGTGAGCTATTTCTGCAGTATTCACAAGGTGTGTGTGTAACCAGTTTTGATTATATAGTTTATTTCAGTTAAGTAATGTAGCACAGTAATTAACATCTCTCACACTCTGTAGTAAGGTAAGTTGGTTTTTTTATGTGAGCCACTTCTCTATGCAGCTCTCGAACACTGTGAAGTTGGAGTGCCAGTGAACGTGCTTCACTCCAGAGTGAATGCACACAGACACGTCCCCACGAGCGTCCAGCATCTTCAGCCCAAACGTATCGTTCCTGTAAAACTTTCGAAAGAAGAGAAGGACAGATTATTTCAAAATAGGAGGAGAGACAGATGTCTACCACTTGACAGAGGGCCTGAAGTAAAAATGAAGATTTGTTTCCATGTGATGTAGAAGTGGTACAATTTACCATAGATGTGTGGTTTGACAGATTTGAAATAGACACATTAGTTGGCAACTCACCTCCTGGTTCCTCATTTCTACAACATTTTCGTTGCTGTCATAGAATCCAAAGTGGCTGTGCAGAAAAGAGGAAACAGTCAGTTCAGGTAAACAGGTCTTGAAACCTCTGCTGCTGTTTTGACCAGAAACAGTTCACTCAACACACAGAAGAAGTTAGTAACTACTTCATTGTCTTGCACCTGAGTATCTATCGAAGCAGTGTATATTCCACTGGAGATGACTTTTTATATATATAATGATTTTTTTTTTTTTAGTGTATTACAGTATTATTAGACTACTGTTAATTTAAAAACATTATGACATGTTATTGTCTTGACTGATATGCAGGAAAAAGTATTCACATATTTAAAAGTTTTGAATTTCTCTTTTTTTGCGGAAGAACCTCTGACTTCATGTGCCACCCCTCTCCCCACTTCTGAAACCGAACCTACAGCCTTGATCTAAGCTGAAGGATATCCTGATGTGTACACTGTAGTTCTCTTTTTCTGTCTTTACACTGGCACATCACAAAATGCTTATCATGTAAACAATACATTTGTTGTAGTGATTGCATCGTTATATGTGAGGAACATATATAACAAGAAGGCTGTTATATCCACCACTGATTAATTAGGCTTTTTATGACAGATACAATAAGATAACAGAGAATCAATAGTGTTTATATGAATTATAAAACTTGATGACAGTGAAACCTGGACTGCCATGGTGTGATGACGCCATCATCTGGTCCTCCAATTAGCACAAGCTTCTTGATGCGCAGGAAGTTTCCCCTCCATGCTGAGGAGGTGAAATGGAGAATTTTGTTTTGTTTAACAATGCACATTTTTACTGTACATCCACAAGTACATAATGACCAGGATAGTTAATGATTCCATTACCTTTCATGTTGCTGTGAGGTTTTTCACCATTAAGGACCGGCAGAAAGCTGTTGCTCTGCAGGTAGCGGGACCTGTGGTGAGGGTCTACGGAGAAAAGATAAATAAATATTTGTTTTTGTATGTTTTCAAGTGGAATTGTAATTTCATGTTTGCTGCCTTTCAAATTTTTGTCGCAAATCATTCTCACCGTTCCAGTAGTCGCAAATAGATACTTTCTGTCCCAGCTTGCTGTAGCAAATACAAAACAGTGTCTTCTTCATGGAGCCTGGAAATATATGCCTCAGGTACTCTGTGTCTGTAGAGTAAGACAGTGAGAAATCCAGACTTTTGCAATGTAGGATCTCAAATCAATGCTGTTTGTTGCTGTATATTAAAGGTTCTGGTGAATTAACTGAGAGTTGTAAAATATCCTCATTCCCTGAATGGCAAGGGATATTTAGACACGCTTAAAACATCTGACCTCCATACTGCCCAGCCAGTGGTGAAGACAGCGAAATGAAGGTGTGCACTTTGTGGTCTGGAGTCGTGGAGAGAAGTGCTCGACAAATTAGACCACCTTAGAAAAAAGGAAGAGGACAACGATGTCAAAACACAAGAGTTCTGACAAACCAATACGTAGTATGTGATCTGCTGCGTTATTAGCAGATACAGGCCTAATATTGTATGTATGCTAAGAGTGGAGAAGAAATGACAGTGGTTACCAAGTGGGTGACTCCCTCTGAATGTAAAGCATCAAATTAGACATGTTCTAACAAGACTGTTTGTTTCCCTGCCAATATTACAGCTATGCTAGCAGCTGTGAGACTGACAGCAATGCTTTTTAGATAAATGCTAACATTAACATGCTAAAATTCTTGTTTACCGGATATGAAGTTTACCCTGTTCACTTTCTGAGTTTTGCGTGTTAGGATGCAAAGCTTTGCTAATTAGCATTAAAAGCAGCGGAGGTTGATGGGAATGTCATTAGTTTTGCAGGTATTTGGTCATAAATCAAAGGACAAACTGATTTTGTGATCTAATGATGGTTAGAGGAAATGCATCACTAAAGTGATTACAGTTCATCCTGAGGGGTACACCTAATTTCATTTCAATCCAATAATTTGCAATCTTCATTCCAGCTGTTGTTCAGACATTTCACCGGAAACCACAACCTCAGGCGGCATCAGAGGAAAAGTCGGAGATCACCAAAGTCATTATCTGACAACCATGAATATCTGTAATACATTTTGAGCCAATATATCTAGTAGATGTTGAGCTATTTCACAGGATTAGTGGAAAATGTCAGTAGGATTTATGTTCTAGGGACTATGAATGGCTATAAAAAATGCAATGGCAATCCATCCAATAATTGTTGAGATATTTCCACATGGACCAAAGTGGTGGATTGACAAAGCAGCCTACAATGGGATCCATATTGCATGTCACTAGCATGGCTAGTAAACACATCATCATTGTCGGTTGAGAGTCTCATGTATTTCATACATTGAAAAATGTTTTTTTCAAAGTGATGTTTTCAAAATGTCTGCTATGAAAAAGACTTACTGGAGGAGAGTATTTGAATTAATAAACATACATGAAGATCTATTTTTGCTGATGAAAATTAGAAAATGTGTACACAGCTGTATGTCCAACCTCAGGTTAAAAGTTTTGACATTCCTGTTTTTAATTTGTTTTCTGATTTGAAACTTTTGAGTACATAAGTACATTAACTGCAGAATTGTAAGAAATGCGATACACTTATCTCAGTATGCTAGAAATGTGGAAGTGTGTGTGTGTGCACGTGTGTGTGTGGGTGATTGGTGTGCATGTACTTGAAGAGATATGTGTGTGTGTGTCAATGTGGTTTTTATAATTTGCATTGCATTGTGCAGCTATATGTGTGAATTCAGTCTTTGTGAATAAACATTTGGCCACAATTTTATCAGCTGTATTGCTTTATATAGGCTGTATGTGTAGTGTGTGTGTATGAATGTATGAATGTGAGACCTTGTGAAAGACAGACAGATTAAACATCATGCCATGAACAGCCTTTTCACAAAACCGTAACAACTGTACTGTAAGTTATTTAGTTAAATAAACCTTCAGTGTCCTTTCACTTTGGAGTGCTCTGCGTGAACTTTGGTTGTCCTTGTAGTCAGCATGCACAAATTATACATATTCATCATTATATCAACATCCACGGTCTAACATCATCTCACAGTGAGAATTTATCTTGGTCTCTGACAGACTAACTGACGCCTCTTCTCATTCACCACATTATTGGTTTTTAAGTATGAATGCAGTCTAATACAACAATCCTGCAATAAATCCTACTGTCATGTTCTTCTGTCATTATAATGTTCTGTTTTTGTTGAAACTGTTTTAGAGTCGTGTTGATTCAATTAAATTGTTCATTTTGCAGGATGTAGTTTGTGGTGCTGTTTAACTGTATTGCATTGACCTGCATGTGTTTGGACTGTGGTAAGAACCCGTAGCATCTTGAGCAGCCATTGCGTAGTTCTCCCTGTTTCATGCAAACATGTAAAGTTCCACCAGCTTATTTGGCATTATTCGGCAATAGTGTTAACCACTGAACCACTGCGCCCCTGTGCAGTGAGTGCATTCATTATATTAAGACATTAAAAAGACCCAGAAACCAACCAGTACAGTTTGTGGTAATTAATTAATTAAACACATTTTCATTTAGGAATATGTACCAAGTGAAACAAAAAAATATTTGATTTGTCTAAGATTTGTTTAAATTTTAGATTTTGTCACTTGGGAAGACAGAATCACAAGATTGCACAATAATGCAGGATCATGTTGACATTGCACTTAAGTGGTGCAAATTCCCAGACAAATTTGAAAGTCAAATAACCAAAAAGCAAATGAAACATGGTGAACCTGGGGCTTCTGGGTTCAACCACTGCAAACTTTCACATATCTGTGTCTCTTTAGTGCTTTAATCATTAGATAAATGTATTTCACCTTGGTCCTTATGAGCTCCTATTTTTTCCAAGCTCCTCAGTCTTGAACTGGCAAGACATTTTAACTCACAGACTTTTTGTTACATGGCGAAAGTATTCGCAGTGTTCGACGTGTGTGTATGTTTAAAAGTGTGCACATGTGTGCATACAGCGTCTATGTGGGTGTGTGAGTGGGAGAGAGGACCTTGTGAGAAGCACAGAAGATGGACGCCATCAGGGGCCTTTTGCATTATGGAGTCGATGGCTTTCTTGAAGCCTTGGACCTGCTTCCACAATGGCTTGAGACTGGCCATGTCGTCAAACAAGTCAATCACTGTCACCTCAGTGCCTGGATGCACCTGGGAATAACATACAAAAGAAATTGAGTAGCAGAGGAGGAACAGATTACACAAATCAATGTAGTAACGACTGATTAAATCAACTGAGGAAAGTATCAGCCTGATGACTGATAATGTTATCAGTCAGTCAGATGTGGGTGCTGATTCCAAAACAAAACTGATCCTGAGGAATAGAAAATGACAGGGGAACAGAAATCATTACCTTGAAACCGCTTTCTGATTTTCACTTCACTGGAAACTGACTGCCTTTAAAATTATCTATAAGGTCAGCTTCAGTAGATCTAAAGTCCAAAATAATTAATGGCTAAGTCAAATGGGAGGTTTGACAGCTTGTGAATATGAAAAACAGGTTTTAAATACATTTCTTTAAATAAAATGTGTAAAGTTTCAGCAAAAACAGACAGACCAAACTTACAATGTTCATTATATTTTAATAATTTTGAGGTATTTGTACTTTACTTGATCATAACCATTTTATGCTACTTTATACTTTTACTCCACTACATGTCAAGGAGAAATATTGGAGCCTACTTTTTACTCCACTACATTTGTTTGATGACTTTATAGTTACATGTAACTTTGCAGATTTAGATTATTAATATACAATATAATCAAAGAATAAATGATGATTATTAGATTAGATTACATAATCAGTTTAAATCAGCACCATGCTTACACCTAATGCATTCATTTTAATAATCCAATAGTGTAATATAAAATGAGCCATTCTACATAAGGAGTACATTTACTTTAGTTAAATTAAGTGCTTTTTATGGTAATACGTTTGGAGTTTGATTTATGTAACATTTAGAAAGCAGGACGTTGTTAGGTTTACTTCAGTAAAATATCTGCTATTTCTCCCACCACTGATTTTAAAACTGATGGGCTACAAAGAATGACGTAGCTTCATAAAGAAGTCACTTCTACCTTGTCCTACCTTAGTTATGAAATTAGACAGGTTTTCGAACTGTTTTGGTCCATCGAAGATCCCATGCACGATGATGACTGGCTTGTACCCGTTGGCGTAAACCCCTTTCAGCAGCAGCAGCAGCAGCAGCACCGGTGATCCTCGAAAGGTCTGCGGAGTCTTCATCTCTACCCGGTCACAGGTGACACCTCTAGCCGAGCAGAATGGGGGATTGAGACCGCAGAGAGCCTCATGAGATCTTTATAGTGCTGATGAGCAGCCCAGTAATCGATTTCATTCAAAGTTAGTTTGTAGACCTGGAGACCTTGTGTGCGCTTCCTTCCTGATCTAGCAATGTAGCCTATCTTATGTTTACTCTTCAGTGGTGTTTAATTTCACATCCGTTTTTAACATACAGTTTGTGTGACCTCGAGCCTCGCCATCCTACCTAACACTCACCAGCTTTTAAAACGACATCATTATTAAGTTACAGGCCTAATCTAAATGTAAAAATTGCATCACTTATTCATTTAACATTTTACTTAAATGCTAATACCCTACCACGAATAACAATAATAATGTATAAGCTTATCATATTTGTTTTTAATGTAAAAAGTACAAAGTAGCATAGAAGAGAAATACACACATAGCCTAAAATACATGTATGTAAAAATTAAGTAGTAAGTGTAGGCCTACTTAATTACATTCTATCACTGACAACATAAGCTTACAATGCAAGTTATCTCTGCAGCAACACTTCTTTAGCCTACTTCTCTAGGCTACTATGTGTGGAAATGTGAAGTTAAAGGATTGTATTCTTTTTTTAAACGCTATTTTTCACGTGTTTATGGTTTGTCATTGGGTGGAAAAGTGAACATAGTGTATTACAATACTGTGATGTTGCTGTATTCCTCAAAATGTGTAGCCTAAATGTATAATGTGTCCTAAAAACAGTCAGCAGGAAACAACACACAGCCGGTGTTATAGGCAGCCTATAGATAACTCATATATGGTGAGAAAAGAGGTGGATTCAAATCTCTGCAGGTAGCCTATACATCTGTTCTGCCGAATAATACATCCATCTCTTTCAGATCAAATTTTTTGCTGAATCTCAAGGAACTAAAATATTGATGACTCTAAACATTCATAAAATATATACTTAGAATCATTGATCACCATTGATGAACCCCACAAAGAATATTATAGCCTATCTTTTTTTTTTTTTTTAAGTACTGTGAGAACTCGGCACAAGTTGTTGTTTTTCAGATAACCGCACGGGGGCAGAAAGCGCTGCAGGCTCTGATGCAGCTCTGCTCCTCGGTAATTTGAAATGACGTATTTCCGCTTTCGACGTCAGCGTGCGTTAAGCTAAGTTAGCACAACATGGATTGATAATTTCTTATTTGTGTGGTGTTTTTTCTGGAGAAATAAAGCCACAAATACATGTCTAAGCACCTACGGAGGGATGTTCGTATCCATTAAGTGTCCTTGAGAGACAGCTGAAGTTAACACCTCATTTGTAGCTGTAGTTAGCTGAGTTAGCTAACTCACAGCCTGCTACTTCTAGCATAACAACAACGTTGTTTGAGCGTTTTTATAAGCGGTAAGTGAAGTTCATGAGGGTTTTATGTCTCAACGAAAGTATAGGAGCGCCTTTCTTTACAATGCTCAATCTGAATTAAGAAATGTAAGATTACAAAAAAAGTAGTCCACGAAATTACCTTGCGTATCACATGTTAATCTGGCAGAATATAAAGTTAACTGCCAAAAAGTATTAACGTTATATATTAACAACCAAGTTTGTATAGTAACTTAATGTGTCGCCTTTTTACTTTCCAGGATGTGACCCAACTTTATTGACTAACTAACTGTTCTCAATAGCTCTTAGTATTCACACAGTGCAGATGAAACAGTTGAAGTATGACACCGATATATGTAACGTTGCAGGGTTGTGGTACATGCAGTAGTACGAGAGTTCATGGTATGGCGGGGCAGCTTGTACTGTACTCTGGTTGTACACAACAGCTTGGGTGACTGTAGTCTGGCTGTGATTCCCAGGTCGAGAAAACGAAGCAACGTCTCTCATTCAGATAACGTATTTATTTCCAATGTATTCATTTTGTAATTTATCATAAAATGCAGCAACTCAATATATGCAAGGCATTAAATACAAATATTACTAAATATTGTACTGTATATAGCTTTTGAATGTTTCTTATTTTTTCATGTCTTTATTTATTAATTTCAAGTAGTTCTTTAATGTGTTTCCCTTCTTGGGCTGGGCGATATGGCCAAAAATATTATCATGAATTTTTTTCCCACGTCATTTGATATTGATTATTATCACAACAAATGTCTAATTGTTATTTCTTTGAAGTTTAAAGGCAAAGAAACTAGATGGTTAATTGTAAATTAAATTAAATTATTCTTTATGGTTATAACATGATAAACACTTGCCAGTCTGTGGATCTGAGGTAGAACATTCAAAACAAATATGATGAAATATTTTTTAAACAAATATGCATGAGTAAAATTAAGTGAAATCTTTTTCAGTCCCTTTTCCTCAACAAAATAAATATCTTAATAGATTAGTGCTAATTCTTTCTTGATTCAGATTAATTAAATCAAACATTTATTGAACAGTTTTTATATTGTTATTGAGGAAAATTATATCGCATTCATTATTTTTATTGTTTTTTTGCCAAGCACTATTTCCTACTTAGTTTCTTTCTTTTCTCTAGAAATGTTGAAAAGGCCAACCAAAGTGATCAGGTCCTGAAGTAATGTCTCCTCATCTCTTACATAGTCTGTAGAAAATGCAAAAGAAAAGAACGTATTATGCAATAATAATATGACACAGATGGGAACAGTATATGAGAAGCTTTAACCAGTTTTAATATCAACAATTTTTTTTCATTAAACAATAAATCCTCAGTTTTTAAAAACTGAAACCAACTCTATGTTAACTCACAAGCTTGCAAAAAGTTTGGTTGTCGCCTGCATTTCTGCAACTACATGGCTTAAATCTAAAAAATCTAAACCTGGATTGCTGATAATCATGTTTTGTGTTATGACTGCTCCCTCAATAGGCGCCATGGCCAATCTAGAGCAGTGGGTGAATGACCGTCTCCATGACATCCTCGGGTTAAGTGACCGATATGTGTCTCAATTCATGATCGGCACTGCACGGAAAGCATCGAGTTCTCAAGACTTTGTGACTCGTCTCGAGCAGACAGGCACGATTGACATCGACCAGAGTGTGATTGCTTTTGCGGAAGAGCTCTTTGACAAGGTATATTCGTAAAATTTGTCTTTCCTTGTGAAAACTTGCCACAACATATTTACATAAACTTTAAATCATACATCTAACAGTACAGTTGTAACGTTTTAAGTTTTTGGTGGGAATGACACCCTTAACAATCTTTTACATCTGTGTGTTATAGATTCCTCGTAAGCAGGTTATTGAGAAACCGTCCCGTGCGATAGAGAGGGAAGCCATTGAAATGGACAGGAAGAATCGGACGTACACGTTACTGGAGGACAGCGACAGCGATGGAGACGCAGTGAAGGAGAAGCAGAAAGGGAAAAAGAAAAGCAAAGACAAGGACAGAGGAAACAAGAGGAAGCACATCAGACAGAAGAAAGTGAGCGAGTCGTCCAGTGAGGAGGAAACACCTAAAAGGTAGTCCAAATATTTTGCACTTGCTTTATTTTGCTTGCTTGGTTTTTGCTTACCATTTGTTGTTTGTTTCATATTGTTCCATGAAATAACGTTTGTGTATTGTGTAGAGCATGACAGGCTGTCTCATAGCATTTGCTGATAACAGTTATAGCTGAATGATTTTCCAATTTATTTTGAGTTTATCATATTTGTAAATGCTGTTTCGGTTGCAGTTATATCTTGTTCTGTGTACCAGTTTTTGCACGGTGGGTGGTCATATTCAAACAGTGTTGAAAATTGGGACAATTACAGCCACCCTTTTCATGCAGTCTCCCCGATAATGAAACAGTCAGTTAAAATAGGAGTAGAACTTCCACCACACATAGAAAGGAATTGTATTTTTGCATATGAAAAGACCAGACATGTTAAAAGCCATAATATGAGTACCATGTACCATAGCTGGTCATGTAAAATCTGAGAGTAATCGCAGAGAAAAGAGTAGCAACCTGTAAATAATCATCATCACAGTACCACTCAGTTAACCTTTGGTACTTTTAATAATTTGGTGCTTGATTGATTAAGGCAGCGATTGGGAGAACAGAAGGAGAGATAGTCAACCAAGTGTGGAAGTGCTGAATCATTCTTTATTGGTCACCAGAGTCTTAAACTTGTAATAAAAACTTTTTTCTAATATCAGGGGTAATTCAGGCCAAAGGGAACCGATGTCTGCCAAGAAAGAAGAGGAGGAAGAGGAAGAGTGGGAGAAAGAAGAGAGAGAACGACAGCAGGACATTGATGAGAGAGATGCTTTTGCAGAGCGAGTGAAGCAGAAAGACAAAGACAAGACCCGCAACATAACAGAGAGGACTGACAAAAAGGTGGGAGACCAGGCAACTACAACACCTTTTTTTAAGAATGAGCCATTATGTCAAGAAGTTAAACACCTTTGCCTTTTGTTTGTTTTTCTGCAGGCTTATGAGGAAGCTCAAAAGAGGCTGAAGATGGCTGAAGATGATCAGAAGAACATGGTAGGTGCTCAAAGTTGGGAGACAAGTTTCGGTTTGTGCTTAATCATACCATGTGTGTCAGAATATGTTTGGGGGTGGGGGGATACAGTAAAAATCAGTTTCCAGAGTTCTAACTGTGTTTTTACGTTATGTTCCTTTTCTAGGTGCCAGAGTTGAGGAAGCGCTCTCGCTGGGAGTATCTAAAGAAGAGAGAGGAAGAGAAGCTGGAGGACCTAGAGGCAGAGATCAAAGACGACGAGTACCTTTTTTCCACTGAAGAGCTGACGGAGAGGGAGAAAAAGGAGTTGGAATACAAACGCACACTTCGGGACCTGGCTAAAGATTACAAAAAGGCCGGTGCCAAGGAACAGGAGGAGAGGAAGAACAGATACTATATGCCAGAAGAGAAGAGAAGCAAAGTAGGAACAATGGATGTCACACACTGACACAATGTGTAGAGACAGTCTCCTACTAAAGTGTGCATAGGTTCAGTTGTTCAACTTGTTCCCCTCCTTCTACCCGCTGACCAGGAGGTGCCCCAGAAGGACCTGGAGCTGGAGGAAACTCCTATGGAGCTGGGTGGAGAGCAAGGCCGCTGGGAAGAGGAGAGGCTGAAGACGGCCTCCCTCAGCTTCGGTGCCAAGAGGGAGCGAGAGCAAGGGATGAGGCAGGAGCAGGAGAAGTACCAGCTGATCCT